GCTACACGTAAACGAAATTCGAAATACGTTGATGGATAGATTAACTAAATGAAAACGTGAAAAGTACGATCTTTCGAATCCTAACGTTAACGTAATGATACAGCCAATTAGAGAACAATGATTATCGACCGCTCCAATGACACATAAAACCCATCCGAGCAGTCTAGAGTCTTCATTGGTCATGCTTCCTGCTTAGCGCTGCCTGTTAATTTCAGAACACCAATCTCAGCCTCTGCAACATGAATCATGTATTTCAAACATACTGGGTTTATTTACATACCAAACAGACCACATCACTCGATAAAACAGAAAATAACATTTTTACAAGATCTAGCCAAAGGTGGCTGTGAATGTGGGAGACTGTAATTAATAGACTGAGCGTAACTCAAGAACGGTAAATCGTATAATAACAGTCTATGGTCCAAAATAAAGCTTTTAAAAAGAGGAACATGAATATGCGTAGTTTGGTTACATAACAATTATATAATAAATATATAGGTATCGTATCGGTCTATAAATAGTTCTCAACAGTTATGATTCTTATTTCTGTCAGGATGTAGCCTTTTATAACAGTATATAAAAATAGGAGAACATCATGGTCACGACTGGATTTATTGTACGTAGATTTCAGATTAGCTGCGATATTGTATACAGGGCAAATCATCAACTGTTACAACCATTACAAACTAGTCATTATCATGCTAGTTGGTGCGCTCTTAAGTACCAAAAGTCACCTGTAGACTTAGCCTTCATTGATTTCAGCAAAGCTTTTGACAAAGTTCCGCACAACCGGCTGTTATATAAGTTAAGAAAAGTCGGGATTGAAGGCAATCTATTTATGTGGATAAAAGACTTCTTAGTTGGGCGTCAACAAAGAGTGGGGGTGAACTCAAAGTTATCTAGCCAGGAAACTGTGCTTAGTGGAGTGCCTCAGGGTACAGTTTTGGGGCCAGTGGTATTCCTCTTGTGTGTTAATGACCTTCCTCGTCTCCTATCGTCATCGGTCTTGCTATATGCTGACGATGTCAAAACATGGAGAACGATACGATGTAAGGGTGATAGCTTAGAACTCCAAAATGACCTGAAGAAATTATCTGAATAGTCTCAAACATGGCAGTTGCCGATAAATACTTCCAAGTGTGTTGTGATGCATATCGGTCATCAAGGTACAGATACATACACGATGAATAACACTGAGCTACCTGTCGTCCAGACATATAATGACTTAGGAGTAATCGTTAGCCAAGACTTAAAGACTACTGCACACTGCTGTGCAATGGCCGCCAAAGGTTTTAGAACCTTGGGGTCAATACGTAGGGCTTTCAGTCATGTCGACGCTGAAACGTTTTTGATTTTGTATACAGTGTTCGTACATCCTAAACTTGAGTACTGCATACAAGCGGCTAGCCCCTGCTTGAAAACAGACAGTGAGCTTCTGGAACAGGTTCAGAGAACGGCAACTAAGCTGATACCCGGAATAGCGAAGCTTCCGTATGAATCTCGACTGGCCATGCTGAACCTTTTCCCGTTGTCATATCGCAGAACTAGAGGCGAATTGATAACAGTTTTCAAATTGCTTAGTGATAAATTTGCACCTGATATGCCCTCATTTTTCTTGTCTCCCAAAACAGAGAATTTACGAGGATACTCTAAAAGAGTTCACAAGTCCGGGACAAATTACTTGTCAGTTGACTATCAACTTTCCCATTAATTCATCAACGAGTGGAATTCATTACCTCAGCACGTGGTTGAGGCTCTATCCGTCGACTTTTTCAAAAGAAAGTTGGATCAACTGAGAGAACACCATTGCCGGGACTAACACAGGCCATCAAGCCTCCTTCCCAAACCGAAACTGAATCTGAAGACATCTACAAACTTTCCTGATACAACATTACACTTAGGAACCAAAAAGGTGTTTTGTCGGAAAGGTATGCATTTGGAACAAATAGAATAATAAAAATGTATCTCAGGAAAGCGGTAATTAATGCATAGCATCAGTCATTTTTTGGATGCGGACTAAAAACTCCTTTTTGGTGCTGCTCTTATACAGTAGATCATGTTGCAATGATGAGACTAGTTTAGGTGAATTGACATCTCAAGCATTATAGTGGCTTCAGTGTAGGACAAGCATTCAAAATCCTGTTGTGGAATCAAAGAGCAGTAAAATGGAAATTTGTTTCTCTAGTGCTTCCCTATACGGCGCTATTGTATGCAATGTCTTTCCAAGGAAAAGCGCTTCATACAATGTGCGACCTTGAGACCACTTGGCATATGTAGGTTTTACCGCATACTTACTTTTCATGCAAGTATGTTAGTACGAGGTTTATCTGTTGTTAGCACTTCGAAAACTGGATCAAAAAGTAATGATTATCTAATGGGCTTCATTTTGATGATTGGATAAATATTATTGGGTTAATCGGTGATACTATAATTTATGGACGAGGCAACTAGTTATTAGACAACAGGAATACTTTGGATTTTAATGGCCTAACTTATGAACCATCCTATGGAATACTAGTCGCTAACTAACTGTTGTAAGGGTAGCCTGTGTCACTGCACGGTAACTCGTACTCATACTTGAGATCTCAGCCTTTTCCAGTAATAGTTCCGCATCTTCACATGCTGCGCAAAGCTGCTTCCAAAATTTCAGTAGGAAATTTTTAGGACAATGAAGAAATTCGAAAGCTGCTTAACCCACTCGCTGAAATTAAACACTAGAGTACTAATTCTGTCAGCGAAAACTCACGCTAGCTTTTCTTTGTTGGTAAATGTAAGTTCCTTTCCTGTAACGATGGCTGAGAAAAACGTTTCCTCTGACCTATGTTTTTGCACGACATATCGTTTTCTGCTTGGCTGTTACCAATTCTAGTTTAAGGTTTTTCTGTTCTCAGGTCATGTCTTGTTACTCTACACAGTTTCAACTTAGGAACACTGAAATAGCTAGCTTTTTCTTTACTTCTGTCCTATTCCTGAATTTGTTTGCATTGGGTATAAGTGTTTCGCATCAGTACTCGTACTATCGAGTTGGTATTAGTTCCTATTCGTATTAGGAAACGTTCTGTCATTCGTTATTAGTAAATTGCTGTAAACCCAAACAAAACAAATCCTTGATACGACAGTAAATATACCTCGATTTTGCTTGAGATTCAATACGTTAGTCAACTTCTCAACTATAAACCTCATCAAGTGTCGAAGCACATTCATGTCTAACAGGTCAGTCTCTCTGGTATCAAGAAATGCACTGACTATCGGCTCTAATTAAGTGTATGATGTGGGACAACAACTTGATCATTCAAAAACCACCGTATTATTGTCTACTAGACACACAGTGTTGTTAGTCTTTGGAACTATTTGATTAGTAACTCACAAAACTTATTTTTCTCATAGATGTAAAACGTAATTTGTCTGCGTTAATGCTTAACGTATCCGTAGAGCTTATGTAGTCGATTGTATTGAACACTGGTTACGTTGATCACAAAATTTCATTGACTAATATAGTTGAAACAGCCAATCAGTCGCAACGTAGAACCTGCTACGTATGTGCATCGTCTCAAGTTGTTGTACCCCTTTTGCACATAGCGATAGGATTGTCAAGTCAAATCTCAGACTAGTAAAGCTATTAACAATATCAGTGGTAATAGAAAAAAATAGTCATCGAGGATATGATTCAATAAACCATAAATTAGTAAAATAAAAAGTATTACGAGGAATTCAGTAGCTTAGAATTTAGGGGAAGACAAAGAGTAAATCTATCTGCACTATTGTGAACTATTTTGAAACAAATCTCTAACCACTGGTTACGATAGTTGAAATATGCATTACGCATACCTAGCTGTCGCTTACTGTAAAGTTCAGTGGTGTGTGGTGTAGGTAGGTTGATAATACGCTGGGAGCTACAGAAGTAAGACATCAGTTCACGAAATCCTTCACCATCAGATATTTTGATAGTTGTGTACTTCATAACCTACAATTAAAGATCGTATTCACTTTTACTCATCTAAATCTTAGATCTTATATCATCCCACACTTTTCATTCATTGATCTCATTTATTCTCCCTGAGTCATACTTTTTTTGTTTTCCTATCTCATTTCATGCTATCAACTCTTTACTTCCCATCTTAATATTATCTCTCAATATGCTGATACGAGGTGTAGCAACTTAGACTGATATACTTTCACACCAAGCCCATGAACTGTGTGTAATAATCCTGGGGATGCTAAGTCCCTAAGTACTGGAATTCTAGAATTCACAAGGTGATTTGGGTTTCAGTTTCGCTGTATCGATTGATTCACCACCAATTTATTTTATGTTCAAGCGATGATTGTTCGTTCTGATAAATTTTGTAATTGCTAATCATTGAATAATCAACATATGATTAGATTAACCTGAATGTAAGTTAGTTCTTCTGGGGTCTTCACCGAAATTCCCTCTATTTCGTTAAAGCGTCTTGTGTTAGTTGTCCAGTCTGTTGATTTTACATAGATTAGTTCCGCCTAAGACGAATCTCAATTGTTTCTATAGAAATGCTAAACCCCATCTCAATTTGCAACGGATATAAGTAATGTGTAATGGTTAGCTTAATCATTATAGATACAGTTGGTTTTCTGAATAGGCCTCATAAGACAAAATACACGGATACCTAAATCGATGTAAGTGACCGAGGTGCATTTATTTTCTATTTTGTTTTCACTCATGAATATCCTACATTTAAAAAAAAAGTTTTCTCTTCGTTGCTGTTTCTAACAAGTTCCCGTGGTTTGCTGTCAATATCTTCGTGAACTTTATGCGGTCACTCAAACCGCAACACTAACACCCTCATTCTGAGCCACAAACATTCTCCATCATCTCAGTTTGAAATATCTTTCTTCTGTTCCACTCTAAACTTTGAATCCACTCATCTATATATTTTTTAAATTTGTTTTCAGTAGTAGGTTCTTAATAAGACAGTCTCCTTGAAAGTGCTCATATAAAGTTTGTCAGATTTGTATGTCATGTCATCATGCATCGAAATGGGAATGAATTGCTTATAAACTTCAAGTTATTACTAATTGGAGATAGTGGAGTTGGGAAATCAAGGTTAGTACCAATATCATACGACTTTTTCCATTTTTATAGCTTGTTAATGCGTTATACTAATGATTGTTTTGAAAGTCAGCTATCTGCAACTATCGGTAAGTTTATGTAAAAGTAATTTGTATGTATTTATCATTTTAGGCGTTGATTTCAAAGTCAAACTTGTTACGGTCCCTGATGGAACAAAGATTAAGCTCTCTATATGGGTGAGTGGTCTGACTTTCCTACCCCAGACTTTTACTTATATAGACTTGTAATCATTTTTAAACCTGTGTTAATAAGTGAGCTTTTTTCACATAACCGCATACTCTCCAAATCGTCAGTCACCTTTGTACGAAGCAAATCTTGTATCTGTGAACTAGTGACTCTTCATCAAGCATCAGTGAATTCATGGCTCACATCATTGGTGGTGATATTTTAAAATAGCGTAAAAGTATACAGCAGGTAGGAGAAATGTATGTTTATTGAGAGAAGTTACAAAGTATTTACAAAATGCATATACATAGCCTTCAATCGTCCATTTGCATCTTACGGTGTGTTCTGCTATCTGAACTGTCTTCTCGTGTTATCCCCATGTGTTATGTCAACGCCGTGCTTTCGATGCACTGGTACTCTTCATTCTGTTTGACAGTTGTTGCAACTTCGACTCCGCGTTCCGCTACACGCTACTTACAAACAATCTTATGAGTAGCGTCCACTACAATAGCATGGTTGAATGGAGTTTATTACTGACACGCATGAATATGTGGTTAATGGTTGTCATACTGGACATCGATCCAGAAAGTCATTGGTTTAAAGCTTAGGAAACCTACAGAGGTTAAAATAGCACTCACATAATAAACGTAGCTCATAACGAATATACCAACAACATACTTTTAACGGAAAAATCCACTAGAAATGGATATATTTCATTCATGTTATAGGTTAGAAAATGAAGCGCTGAGTAGCTACTTTGAAATTGTTGCCACGTTTTTTCAGTCAACTTTTTATCCTGCAGTTTTTCTAATCTTAGAAACTGGTAGGTTAAAAAGATGACTTCACGGTTCAAACCTATAGGAATCGCTCAAAATGCTAAGTGGGGTTTTCCGACTGACAGCATTTCTGTAGTAACCACTCATTAGAAAATTGTGTCAGATACCACAGTTGGGTTAAAATCTCTGCACGAGACAACAAGATCCACTGTGATTCCTATCATGCGTTTTAAATAGAATACAATAAATTCCAGTTTAATCCTAATTAGAGTCAGGATACCAGTCCTTATCGATCCTCATCAGTCTCAATAATCTACTTGGCCAGTGTTGTAGTCAGATTTGTTAAGACCCTATTAATAGTACTCTGAAGTTCTAAATTATTTAAATACTGTTATTTATGATACCCTTGTTTTTCGACAGTTGCATGTATGGGGAAGTCAGAAAAGTCTCAGATCAAAGAGATTGTTATGTCCGAACGAAGAATAAATGAAAGATAACTTCTACGAGTTATCTATGGACTATTACTACATATATTCTTATAGTTTAATTATTTAAGCTAGTGTATATATAATATCCCATTTATCATAAGCTGTCATTTGACATATTGGCTACCGTTATACGACTTACGATTCTTTACTTATTCCCAATTTATCAGCTACAGTATCTCATACAGTCACTTTTGGTTTGATATTGTTTCATTATTATTTTGCATTTTACAGTGTAATTCGGTCTGGTCTGCTTGTATATAAACTACTTATGTTTGAAATATACGATTCATACAGTGGAAGATCAGATTGTGTTCTGGACTGAACGGTCTGGGCTAGGTGAGAAGTTACTATACAGAGGAATAATAATGACTCAGTTGACTGCTGCTGCTCGTGCTGGGTAACGAATCATTGGTTTAGCACAAACATATCATATAAATCGGTGTTTTGATTGGCGGTTTCGTCATGTTATATTAAACGGCGTATAAGACGTAAAAGAGATACTAAATATACTGAATCATCATTATGAATAATTTATTGTGATGTATATTACATCTGAGTAAAACTGTAACCCTAGCCCTTGCATTCCTATTTAGTTCATTCAATTGATTAACGTCTCTTTTGAATGTCTTTTCGTTTCATTGCTGTTGAAGCTTCTGTGCAAGATTGCTACTTCTCAATTACCTTTCTGAAGGTATGACTGAAATCCTTGGTTTTGTCTTCAAATCCAAGAATGCCTTTTGTAGTAAAACATTAACATCTGTCAACTTTTTTATTCAATTGTTAGTCATACTCATCAAATCTAACTGTATCGTTTCTTTCTATGTTTGTAGACAAGTGTATGAAATATATGTTTGCCAGTTATTGAGAATTGGTTATTTGTACATTGGTTACGTGACATACTTTCTGTTGTCTTATCGTGTACCAAGGAATTTCTGTACTGTCATTACATAATTATATAGAAGACATTTCTCTGTTGATTTTGAGGTTGTGACTTGGTTTATCCTTAAAAAGGGCGTTCAACTGAAGGCCTATTATGGGCTGATTAAGTACTAACACACTATCTAACTGTATAAACATTTTTGGTTTTTTTTATTTTAATAGGAAGGCTGGCTAATTAGTTCCGATTGTTTGTATATAAGTAAACATTGAATTACGCCTTTACCGCATGAATTTTTTCCGACACGATAGATTGCATTTAAGATGTAATGATTTACTTTTACAGCACCTTTTTCAAAATTTTGTAGGATACTGCTGGTCAGGAACGGTTTCGTACTTTGACACCCAACGTGTATCGTGGTTCACACGCTGCTGTTTTTGGTGAGTTACGTTTTAAAAACTTGTTACGGATTATATTATGTGGTTTCACGGGTATTCATTAACTTTGATACTCATAAATGAACATCTTTTGAATCGAGCTTGACGTAGAAAAGCCAATGCACGTAAAATTATCATTTTTTCTTATAGAAAAGCTAAAACGTTCGAACAGGCTACTTCTCATACACTTATAAAACATGTTTTTCGAATATATGGCCTATAATTTTCAGGTAATTGAATACGAGATCATCTTGCTCAATCTAAAAACCCATTATGTTGTTAAATATATGTTGATACATAAAATTCAATCGCAAGCGTCTCATTGACTGAAGATATGCGTCAAGAAGAGTAAAAGTTAACCAGATTTCTACTCCTGAACCACTTTATTCTAACTGTAGATCACTAATGGACAAAATGGACTTTATTTTCTATTAAGCGTAAATATGTATCGTAATTGTGGCGAAGTCTCAGTTCAAGAATCTTGATTAAATGATTTCCTTGACGATAGTTTGATATCACTACATAATTTCGGGGTTCATCATCAAGATTGTTCAATCAACGAGAAAAAGTGAGGTGCTGGTGTAAATGTTTTGTTATTGTAGACTGGTTTTAATCTAACTATGCACATTTTAAGTTTCCCAACAATTTTATAGACCATTAGAATTTCTAGATAATAATTCTGCCTTTGTTTCTGTTTCATGACCACTAATATTGGACAAGTTTATTGGCGATAATGCTGAGAGCTGGATAACTGACTGAGCTTGTTCTTATTTCTTTGAAACAGTATATTGTGTATAGAAGAAAGCTTTTCACATATTTGTAAATCAAAGTTGGTTTACCACAAGTCTTTGTCTCCCCTTTTTTATTTTTCTTACATCTGCCGTCCATATAAAGCACCTCTTTATGATATTGAAGATGATATCTCGACCATTAAAGTTGTGCATTGTAGGTCTAGAGTTGGTTGCAAAGAACACCATAGTTGAACCAAGTGTACATCTGATTTTTTTTTGAAATAAGTTAGCTAACAGTGTCTCATATGTTTATAACTAAATCATTCTATTCAGTGATTATGAATGTTTTTTTATCGCATCAATCAACATAAATGTGTTACAACTGTTCGGGTGATTTCATTATTTAACTTGATAAAGTTAGATATCATGAAATTAAACTATTGAATTCATTAACCATTCCATAAATATTTATGTAAATCAATTACTTAGATAAAAAATTGTTTAGAAATTGTTCACGATTTTTGTTTCATATTTAGGTCTAAAGTTATTGTTGTTTCTTTTTTTCCTTAAAAAAAGATTATACTTAGCAAGGATGTGAACAACTAATTGTAGATGATTAAGTGAAGCTTCATATATAACATCTTTTAAGTATTTTAACAGTCTTAAGAAAGAAAGGGCCGCTGACATTCGTTTATTATGGGACATTTGATAGTCAATTATTCATAACTACTCCATAAATAGTAAATATTCAGGAATTATATCTATTTGTTTATTTCAATGATTTGTATGTAACATAGTTGAGTGTGATTGTTTGAAACATGAAATGAAACTTTCACATTTATATAGATATTCCACAGTTTATTCTCGTTGTAATTAACAATAAATATTACATCTATTCAGTCAGTCAAAATCGAAATAGAGCTGGGGATAGATATACTTTAGCCCAAGTTTATTTATTTATTTATTTAGTTGAAGTTAGAAATTAACACCGTTGGATGCCGGCTCAGTAGTTAAGTGCTCGCGCGCGTAACCAGTAGGTCCTGGGTCCGAATCTCGCAGAGGGGCGAGGTCGTGGATGCGCACTGCTGAAGAGTTCCATAATAGGACGAGACGGCCGTCCAGTGCTTCCAGGTTTTCCATGGTGGTCTAGCTTCAACTGACTCATGATCTTAACCATTGAAATTTATTTATATATTTGAACATATAAATATTGGTACAAGAGGGCACCAAATATTTATGCGCCACACAAAACAATTGGAATGAGAAGAGAGAAAAAACGAAGGTGAGGAGCGTAAAAGAAAATGAAGAAAAATAACGACAAGATTAGTGTAAGGTAGTGTAATAATATTAATAATGGGGGAGACGGAAAGGTACAACCAGAAGAAATCTTTCAGTTAAGGAAGATACGACCACTTTTTATGAAGAAAGTAAAAGAAGGTTACAGCAGGATCGCCACCGCCTTCTATCCTGAGCCATGTCTGATAACGTCTCTAGCCACTGTGTAGCACCATCTCTCGGACCCCAACCAGGGAGTCGTGAGGGACCGACAGAAGCCAGTCCTTTGCAGCTTTCTTTCATACCACGGCACCATGTCATGCACTGACCGCCTCTCCGCTTTATCCAACCAGTCCCAGAGTCAGCAAATAATGCACGAGGTGGAATTCTCTGGGACGACATTCGTAGAACATGTCCAAGCCACCGAAGTCGGTGTTTTAAGATGGTGACACCAATTGGATTATCATCTCTGCGCCCGAACACACGATGCCGAACCTCTGCATTACTGATATGGTGTTGCCACTGGATGGCAGCAATCCTTAGGAGACAACGATGATCAAACACAGAGTCGTCCAACATCCTCAACTCGGAAAGGCCAGTTTTCACAAGCATAGAGGAAAACTGCTCTCACCGACGCGTTAAAGACCCGACCTTTTACAGCCAGACTAACATCACGAAGGCGCCAAAGATGGCCCAGATTGGCATAAGCCGCTCTGGCTTTCACTATACGTGCATTGATCTCATCACTCCCACCAGCATTTATGCAGCTACCCAGATACACGAACTTCTCGACTACTTCTATCTGCTCACCATCCAGGGTGAATACAGGATTAGAATCCTTCCAGTCTTGTAGAAGTACTTTGCACTTCGAAGGTGCAGAGTACATACCGTACCTACGGACATTGATTGCCAACTGATTAAGTGCGGATTGCATGTCTTGGGCATTATCGCACATTAAGACAATATCGTCCGCATACTCAAGGTCGAGAAGTCTTTCTTCAGGCAACAGATCCACACCACCATTACTTACATTCATCAGAGCTGTTTCCAGAATGTCATCGATGGCAAAGTTGAAGAGGAATGGTGAGATTGGGCAACCCTGTCTAACCCCACTGCTTGAGTGGAACAATGGAGATTGGTGTTTGCATGCCCTCACCCTACCTGAGGTGTTTGTATATAGGGCTTTTGGGATGTTAATAAACATCTGAGGCACACCCTTCTTCAATAGACAATCCCAGAGAACAGTGCTGTCGAACGAATCGAAGGCAGCCCTGATGTCAAGAAACACTACGATTGTTGGCCTTTGATAAGTATGACTGTGTCCTAACATTTGATGGAGGGTGGAGAAACGATCAATACTTCCTCGACCAGAACAAAAAACAGCCTGCTCCTCTTGAGTAGAAACTTTCTCGGGTTTCGAACAACCTACGAAGTATGACGGAAGCCAATAGCTTGGACGCAATCGGAAGTAGACTTATCCCCCGATAGATGTTACAGGAACGACGTGAACCCTTTTTAAAGATAGGGACAACTATCGACTCATTCCATGACGTTGGTACACTCTCTAGTTCCCAAACCTTTGTAAACAACGTCGTCAATTCCTTAGTCAGGAAGTCACCACCATCTTTAAAAAGAGCCGGAGGTAGGTCATCTGGGCCAGGTGATTTGTAGCGCTTCGAAAGTGGGAGCTCCTTGAGGATTTCCGCCTCATTTGGTGTATCAGTCGTCACCGGCCATGGAGGGCAGGACATTTCGATCGATGTTGCCGGAGCAGCAGGCCAGTTGAACTGCCCATCGTCCAGGACGTCGATGAATGTTAGTGATTGGCATCCCGTCATCCTCGCAGATTGTTTCGCTCACTCCAGACTTCTTGCTGCCAGTGGCTCGGATGAGTTGGAAGAGCCTCCGGTTAATACCAGATGCAGCTGCTGCTTCCAGCTCATTAGCACGCATCGACCACCAGGCTTCTCGGTCCTTACACAAGCTTTGCCCGATTTCATTACGTAACATCCTTCGTTTGTGGTCAAACTCACGGTCACTCGGAGCATTTTACATCAGCAGGACGAATTATATTTAACCAGATGAAATGCTTAGGAGTTGAGTTCATGAACAGATGCTATATCTTGTTTTGGCTTCCCCTCATTTTATTTGAAATTACTTCTTCGCCAGCCGACGTTAAACAAACTTAACATATCCCAGACACCTCAGGTGATGAAGTTTTACAGTTTTGTCAACAGATTTGTTATCTTTGGCATTTTAGGCCAAACCACAACAGTGCTCATGGCATCTATGCAGTGCTCCAAAGACACAGTCAGGATCTTACAACCTCCAAAGATGATGGCTTGTTGTTCGACTTCATTTCCATTGTGAACTTTATGTCCTTGAAGATGTTGATCAGGCTGTAGGTGTTTTCCAGCCCGTCTTCAGTGATGCAAAATGTCATCCACATAACGAATCCACATTTCTGACTTGGTCACTGGTGTAATCGAGGCTTCCAGTCTCTGCATCACTGCTTCTGCATTAAGTCCTGATATTCGAGATCCCATTGGTGTTCCTTTCGTTTGTTCGTAGGTTTTTTTGTTGAATTAAAACTACATCGTTAACGGTAAATCAATGAGTTCTAGTAGACCTTGACTTTGAAACTTCGTGTGCTTTGGAGATTTGTGTCGTTGGTGAGAAACAGGAATAGAGTTTCGTTTGCTAAGCTTGGTTCTATTGAAGTAAATGAAACTTACATTGAAGGATATCATCAGTTCATCGTTGTTGATTTGAATCTATTTAAGCTTTCTTAAGAATTGTATTGGATATTTGGAATGATGAAACGAATCCTTTAAATATTTCAATATTATTGAAATTTCGATAAATTGTATATTAAGGTTCCGAGGAGTGATCAGATTTGACGTAGTGGGATGTTGGGTTTGTGTAGTTTCGGTCTATTGTAGAATCACCAAAGTGTAAACTTACAGCTTACATATGTTTTCTACCTCGACAGACATCGATTAATGTAAAGTGGATCGCTGCGTATTGATTAAGTTGTTTTTATATATTTAAGCCCGTTACGTCTCTCGAAGTATAGGCTGCCGACCAGTGGTCTCCAAGAAACTCTATCCGGGAATATTCTTTGCAGTCTTGATTTCTGACTTCAGTTACCGAGATTATGTGTTCTTTGGTCTGCATTTTTTCCCTTTTGCCCCTAGCTTGAGCTTGTCTTGTGAGATACAGTCTAATGGTTTTCACAAAGTGTGTTCTATCCACCTCCAGCATCTTTTCCTGATTTCCTCCACCTCTGGTTGCTGACTTATTCTCTTTCAGAGTAGATTATTGCTGATGGTCTTTAGTCAATACATTTGGGGTCACTTGCATAGACAGCTCTTTATGAATACTTGTACTTTTTGGTGATTTTGGTAGCAGCTCTCCAGGTTTCAGCTCCGTACAATAGCACTGTCTTAAAGTTAGTGTTGGAAATTGTGACTGGTTTTGTCTGAGAGTTGTTGTGAGTAAATTTTCTGATTGTAGGGATGTTGTCCTTCATTCTCTAACTCGTTCCTTGATATATGCGTCAGATCGTCCTTGTTTGTTATTGGTAGTGCCTAGATGTGTAAAGTTTTCCATCTCTTCAAGAACGTCACGATCAAGTGTGGTTTTGTTGGGTCTCTGTGTGCTGTATTTTAGGATCTTGGTTTATCCATTGCGGAATTTGGCGCTTCACTGGTTTCCTTCGTCTGCATTTGTTTCTGTGCGTGGAATAGAAAGGTTAAGCCACCTAGAAATCCAAATAACGCTGCTGTCTATAATATTCACTGTATCATGTGTTTTTCCCAATCTGTGAACCCACTTGGTAACTAAAGGAAAAAAATCTGAAGTCATCAGTCTTCACTTGGAATACATCTGTGAGCTGTCCTCCATTAGTGACTTTATAATTCAGTCCGTCGTAGGAGTTTTGTATGGTGGTGGCTATCTTTCCACGCGCTCCATGTTGTTAAAATAGGTTCCATTAGGTTCTCCTATCCACACTATTAAATGCTTTCTCATAGTCACACGATTTCGTCGGGAAAATTGCAACCGACTTTATTTCTACTGTGAGTAGGCGTACATAGATAGATGAAAATGTATGTTCATAGATGTAACTTTTTACAGTTACTGAGGTAAGCTTCATATAAATTCACTTATACTTTACTCATCTTTGGATCAAATAGTATAAACATGTATATATTTTTATATTTTCATTTATTTCACTGTTATGATTTTTGTTTAACATACCATACCTTTTATTCAGTGTTTGATGTGTCGAATCGTGAGAGCTTTGATCATCTGACCAGTTGGATGGAAGAGTTAAAAACTTATTCAGACAATCCAAACATGATTAAACTTCTTGTTGGAAATAAAATTGATAATGTAAGTTTTTATAAAGTAATCAAATATCTACAAACATGTACTTTTAATTAGACAGTTTTTTCATCATTATTTAACATTTTCTAGTTGTCCATTAGTAACCTATTAAACTAAGGTATTAAGCTTGATAATAATATCTACTGTTAAATTCTACAGTTAATAAAAGGAAAAAGTGAAAAAGAGTATTCTACTTTCCTACTGGCTTTAATTTGAGATAATTAAAATTCCAATAGTTGAGATTATAAGTCAGTTGAAACTAGACCACCATGGAAAACCTGGAAGCACTAGACGGCCGTTTTGTCCTATTGTGGGTCTCTTCAGCAGTGCGCATCCACGACCCCACCTATCCACCAACTACGTCGACGCATAGTAATGGCTAGTGTAGAAGTATGTTGGAAGTAAGCTATAGGCGGCCAAACCAACACATGGCATATGTCCGTGAAAATACAGAGTATTGGACTGAGTCATTTAGGTAAATGCGGACTACGTGGTTGTGGTCCGCATGATTATTGTATCCAATGGTTATGACTGGTTGACATCGATTCACTTTTTGTATTCCCTTGTATTCTAATTTCCCTACAAATTTTATTCATTTGATTAATTTATGTTTTGTTTCATCGCATCTTGGATGCCTGTTCTTTTCTATTATCATTACTACTTGTATTACTGTGGGATTTGCCGTTGTGTTTATGGGTTATAGAAACATGAACCGATGTACACTTGTCAGCTTTCACATTACGTATAATTGACTGGCCGATACTTAAAACACTTATTGCCTAGGTATTGTATGAACTGTGATTTTACGGTTCCATCATGTTACATCTGGCATATCTAAAATTATTGATATGACCGCTGCTCTTGTGCTACTATAAAGTAATCCCGGAGCGTTTAAATAAAATATTGTGTTTTATGTAGAATTGTAAGTTTTAACACCACTTATATATCTCAGTTGTAAACACTAGAATGCTAGATTCCTTTGTCCAGCTAACTTTGGATATCGAAGCGCTAGTTTTCAATCCCGACTTCTAGCCACATTTCATTGATATCACTTGACTTCCCCTTAATTTCTCTGAACCTCCTGAATACAACTGTTTTCATGATTATGGAATGCTTTAGTAATAAAGAATTATCATTGGTATTATTTTTGTTTTTACTCTAGATTTCCCGAGAGATTTCTCGTGAAGAGGGTCTTCGTTTTGCCCGTTTATACAGTATGCCGTACGCTGAAACAAGTGCGAAAACCAGTGAAGGTGTTAATCAGCTATTTTCTGATGTTGTTACTAGAATTTATAATAATTCTGAATTGTGGAATCAAGGAAAAAAGCGTGCAATTAATAATTCTTCAAGTCGTGCTCACTTAACTGAACTTGAAGATAAACAGACCCGTAGTGGCTGTTGTTCATAATATTCGTAGATGTTTTGGTATACATTCCTTACACTTTGCGAATTCATGACTTCACTTCATTATTGAAATCTCTTATTTTATCCAACTAAATATTATGTATGGTATACTATAACGGTTTACTGCTATTTTTTAATGTTTTCTGATAACAGTTTATTACAAACTCCTTCTTTAAGTTTATAGTGTCATTCAGTATAAGGCTGTGATGTTATTTGTTAGCCAAAATTTTATGATGCTTTCATAGTTTTGCGCTGCTTTCCTTCATCTATTTTGACTAGATAAATATCTAAAAAATAGGTTATGTCCTTTTTTCGTTGGCTGTTTCATTGTTTCTTTTTCAAAAAAAGATCAAAACAACTGAGACTATTTTCTTTATCCATTTAGACAGTTAGTTATTTTCTTTTCAAGATTTTTCTTGTTTATTTTATTGTACCTTTAAAAAATTTCAATATTTCCGTTACTTGCTTTGAAATTGATCACACTGTTTTATAGAATTTTTTCGTCAAAGCTAGTATTATTTCAGGTGATTTTCATATGGTTAATACTAAATCAAAAGCGGATTCGAACAATCCCACTGTTTAGTATATTCATTATTATGGAGTCAGTATCGATAAATCCGAAACCATTTGAAGTTCTTACATAACGACTATACCTAATTGTAGTTGATGGAAATAAAACTGTCAAAGATTGTGCTAGTAAAAGAACTTGATTTTTGGAAAAGGTAAATCAGTAGTAATCCCCTTTGGCTACTTGTCCAATACTCTGACAGTTGTAGCTGGGACTGCTCAACATGATTCATGTAGATCATTAATCTTTTTTTCCTGGCGTAAGGCCAATGTGAAATACGGATTTGCATTATATGAAACTCGTTAGGAATTAAAGAGAAAAATCATTTGACGTATATGCATGGTTGTTCCTAGAAATCTAATTTTCTTACTGTGAATCATTGTAGTGATACTTTTTAAGTGATAGCTATGTAGTTTAGTATAGATCCTAATGTGTATAAACGTTTTAGAACCAGTAAGGATGCCTCGAACAGTCGTCTGTGAATGAAATTAAATTCCGTACTTTTCTTAACATCTGGAGTTCAATGTGTACTATTTGTATTTCCTGGTAATACGAGTACTTTTGGGGTTGGATAATTCACATTTCAAAGATGTTCATGTATCATTGTAACGTTCACGAAACTGTAGATACCATGATTTGATTATCGGCCCTGCGATTCAGGAGCCCTTCGAAAGAGTTTTAGGATTCTTTGATTATTAATCAAGCAGTGAACCATACTCTCTATACGTAAATATTTTCCTTAGATATTACAACGAAAATAATTCTCGGTTATTATATGGGGAAAACTGAAATTTTGTATAAATGTAAAATTATGTTAGTAACAATTCTTCTTGTTTTTTGCCCTAGTTGTGCAAATAAGAATGTTTAGAATTGACTTGTTCTCTTTTTCTTATACAAAATTAGGCATCGTTCACTAGTCTTACTTTCGAATGTTGCAATACGATTTTACCAAACTGACATGCTGGATATCATATGTTTTCACCCCTTAATAGTGATGTTTTAGAAATAACTTGGATTAAGAGAAGTTATTGTTGGAGAGGTTCGACAGAAGACAACCATTCTTTTTGGAGCAAATAGACTCCAACTGTCCTGTAGCGAGAACATTATTTTTATTGGACGCGGAGAAGTCTCAACAAATTGACTCTTTGGGATTCAACTCGAAGATGTAAAGCTAATGAATGTATTTAAGAAAGAATTAGGTAAAGAACTATTGGAAAAGAGTTAATCTCAAAGAAGATTTGTGTGATATCAAAACACCTGGAAATACAACAGAGGTGTTCGTCAAGTACCTAAAAAATACTGTTAGGAAATATCGGGGGAACTCCCACTGAAATGATAGCTGCCCGGAAGCTCAACACATGCACAGAGGTCGAGGTATTGCAAAGTTAACTCAAGCAGAATGAAAAAATTCACAGGATGATTGTGACCGTTATTGGGTGAGGAAATCTTAGGAGGAAGAAAGATCAACTGAGATATCTAACCAGACAAGTGTTTGGAATGATCAAACATCACCTTTTAGCGAACTTATCCTTGTAAAAGATAAGGGTAGTTTGAAAATTAGACCTAATCTTGTCTGACTGGGCTCGACCGCTGATCGTCCCAATATGTAAGAAACGACAAAAATTCTCTTATGATAACCACTGAAGTATTGCTCTTGCTAGTATAATATTTAAAATGCTTCAGTAATCATCCGAAGTTGTCCATAGGTTTTAGGACAGAAACCAATGCTTTATTCTGATCGGTTTCCTCATTCGAAAGTGATATTCAACTCCGTCGGCTTAGAGGTTTAGTGGCAGTTTTTATCACTGGAGGAGGAACTAGAAAAGTATCCAGACCTGAAAGCTCCTCAATAAGAACTTCGCTGTCGAGTTAGAACTTACAGAAAACTGTAATCGAGAACACTGAATTGCATTCGTCAGCGTTGCCTAATTTCTTCGCTTCTATTTAGCTCCATTGTCATTCTTTTTGAGATGCTCATCATCCAGCTTATCAGGGATTGATTTCCTACCTGACAACCTTCGTCTTCTCATCGTACTGTCGAGATATTAAATTAAAGTATGCAGATGACAGTTCTATTTAGTGAAGACGCTGACAAAATGCAGGGTGCTCTGATTTCTTTGAACAACAATACGAACATATTCGGGGTGCGTATCTTTGTTCTTAAATGTATAATGTTGCTTGAGGACTGCTCTGCATTAACAACTAAACTAATTATAGGGAGTGAATTAGTTGAGTGTATCGACCGCTTCAATTATCTTAGTTTGAATAAACCTGCTGAGTTGGTGGCTGACGAAATCTAGGCACGGTGCTAGGAGACTCGATTGGCTTTCGCCAGCCTACGTTATTTGTGGTGCACCTGAAATGTATGTCTGTCAATGATGTGACGAGCACACTGTGCATTAGTTCATTCTATCTATCTTTTTCTATGGACATGATACTTGGCTAATGAAGGTAAAAGACGTCAATAGTCTCCAAATAAGTATATGATTATATGTATTTCCGAAGTATTGTTCATGTATAGTAATACAACCAAGTGAACAGCTACGAGGATAGACATAGGATACTTGATAAAAATCCATTGATCAATTACGAAACTTTATTGAATGAGGTGGTTAGAAAATATGTTATAAATCCCTAAGAACCTCCTACTTCGACCCGTAATGCTGATTGGGATTAGCATAGATAAGAAGGAAGCTAAGAGTGTTCAAACCAAATTAAATAGTCAATTTCGTTGGACTGTGGTCGTGTGGCATGGCAGAAGTTTTGTATCTGGCTGCACAGACCGACATAAACATAACAAGTGTGTAAATATCGTGCTGTATGCATGATTAGATGGCCTTGAATTCGGGCCTGTACGGTGTTATGAAAGTCAGTTGTCGCGGACCCTAAAGTAGGGTTCAAGCAACCCTTCACTCTCTGATTTTCAATCGTCTCACAGATAACGTTATTTTGCAACAAAAATAATCTTTAAATTGTTCCGTTCTCAGTAAATAATATATGGGTCTATTATACAAGTTGCAACCTCTCACAATATTCTCACTGTGTGCTAAAAATTAGCGAAAAACACTACTCTAATTCTCTTTCACCTAATATTATTAAAAATCTGAAAAATAATCACGGTAGGATGCAAATGATCAATGTATGAAAATTAGCATTTTAAGAAAGCATGACAGGAATTCAAGTTCAATCTAAGCATACACACAAAGTACTGAAAAGTGAAAATGTTACATAATAAACTATTATTTTTTAACAGTTTGTTATGATGAGTTCACCTGTAGACAGTCTTTTACACTTAATGTCATATTTTACATAAACACTTAACATAAACAAAATGTTTGTCATAGCAAAAAATTAGAATTATAAACATAATCAAATAAAGTAGGATGATAATGATGGTGATGTAAAACGATTTCAAGTTACAGTATTATAACAACACAAAATCCGGAATTAAAGATTCATGAATTAATTATACTTTCTTCTATCGTACAATAATTATATACAATGATTTCATTTTAAAGCAATACATAATCAGCATTACTATGTCGTTGTTGTTCACCTGAATTTAATGGGTTTTTTGCAGTTACAATAATTGAAGAGGTTTTATGTTTAGGCTTTTGAGATGATAATGATAATCCACATGTTTGTAGATCATTAAACACTTTCTTTTTTATTGTATTGTATCCTAGTTGTCAATGTTGTATTGTTTTGTGAAAAGAAGAATAAGTATCAGTGATTAGCTTGCATTTATAGTGCGATTAGTTAAACATAATTAACATCTCATCCATGTCAGCAGACAACAATTCTTGTAGATATTCAAAAACCCTTCTATTCCTTTATAGGTATACCTTGTTAAACATCGGGGAATCTCTGTAAATTATTGATCCCAGGTAGTGACTTCCCATTTTAATTAGTGTTTTGGCTAATTAAGTATTTTTTGCTTTGACCAAATTATTTGAATAGTACAGGCTACTAAGCTAATGTGATTAAGGAAGAAGTCTACGGAGATTGTCTAACTTGAAGTTAGTTTATCTGACAAAATAACACCTATTGTTAGGAGTTGTAAAGACTGTTGAACTTTATTGAAATCATGAACAGATTCAAGTTAGACCACCATTGGAAACATGGAATTATTTGATGAACGTTTCGTCATACTATGGAACTCTTCATCAGGGAGAATTCACAAGCCCACAGGATTTCAATGGTGGTCGAACTTAGGTGGGTTCACGATTTCAATAGAATCGATATGTATTAAAAAACCATAGGGCATTGTAAAGTTATTCCTCCTGAGAAGTTTGGAATCACCATTAAAAACCTATTTATTGTTATGCGGATTTCCCTTATTCTCCTCTAATGTTAGTCTGTAATGCTATTGAATATGCAGCTTTAACTCATATGAAGCAAGTGAATATATTTTTATATTTGAGTGCAGTAATACGACATATTAGAATTGGAAAATAAAGTATTCTTATCAAAGAATAACACAAATAATTAGTCCAAGAAAGTTATAAGTAATTTACCGGACTCAAACTTTAACTAAATCATCGAAGTTTTCTCATTTAGGCTAATCATCCAAACACCACTGTCGCTATCTCGTAAAAATAAAGTCAGTTTATAACTGTGATCAGTCTGTTGCAAGAACTTGTGATATACATATAATACAGATCCTTCATGTAACGCCTTATTGCAAAATGAACATCAGCTCAGCCCAAAATTGATAAGATTGGAAATATTTAAACTTAATATGGTTAATAAAAGGATCTTCTACAGACTTTAATGTGAAACATCATTAATACTAAATTTCTCTAAGGTAACTTTTTCTATCACAATATACACCATTTCAAGAAATAATATATAATAAGGAGCACTAAACATTTATTTCATTCTATATTTAGGAAGAAGTTTTCAATATTATACTTCTATAGGAAGTCTGATCCAAAATGTTCAGACCTATAGTCCTTGACATTGTCAGAAGTCATTATAGTTCACTTTCGTGGAATTTCAGTCTAGGGAGAAACAGTTGTCTAGTTGTCACCTGGTTTTCTGTAGGTAATATGTGTTTATAGAAGATATTTCCACATCTAACAGGATTTACAAGGATCTATTCCCAATTTTTTAAAGCTGTTTGATTAGTATGAAGACTACTATGAACTGACCTAAGAAATGTTTAATTTTCAATATGTGTCATTTAGTTTCGTACCTTACCGTAGTCACTCATTTTTATCGGCAGTCATCCGATAACCAACCATATGTCTGAAATTAAACAATCGATTAAAATAGTCTTAACAAATTATACAGTATGATTAATCAATCTAATCTCAACTATCATTCTTAGACCTAAATTAACTGATACATATTGATATAAATATACTGCTACTTGTCATCTGACAATTGCAAATTTTTGATTTTATTTAACTTATGAAAATCAGTAACTAATTAGAGGCTTACGAAATCAACATTGAGTCATAATTTTAATAATGTTAACTACCAGTCTCCATATCCATTTATTTAAATTAATGAATTGTTATTCAAACCTGTCATTACAACAAATGATTCACTATATCCAAGTATTCTTTTGATAAATCGATAAAGTGAGAATTAAAAAAAATAAGTGAGACCTTCAGATTATGTTTACTTGTTACTACTTATCTTTTTGATTAGCTGATTGCTTAATTGTGTTAATAGTGCAATACATTTTAATTTTAACTTAAAAAATATATGTTGAACATAAAATATACCTATTTATCTTTGTGAAAGGACTATAACGTAGAGCGATGTTAAAATACAGAAAAATACGAGAGGAGACATACTCAGTAAAACTTTTGTAACTCATTCACTGTTTTTTTCTGATTGCTATTAATACCATCTATATTGTTTATTAAATAGAATTACGTGAATGTTTTGTATTGTCATGATAAAGATAGTATTAATTTATCAATCTTTTGTGGAACATAAACTTGGAATCTTGAAGGGAAACAGAAAAGAGGAAGGCCAAAAAACACATTACGTTGGGAAGAAGAAGCAGATATGAAAAGGATGAATGACAACTGGAAAGATCTGGAAAGGATTGCCCAGGATAGGGTTGGATGGCGAGTGCTGGTGGGTGGCCTATGCTCCTCTACGAGGTGTAACAGGCGTAAGTAAGTAAGTAGTGAAACATAAACAATATTTGAAAAAGAATGAATAAATAAATATAGTACAAATCTATCCTGATTGAAAATAATCTCTAAAAATGAATATTTATTATAATAGAGAAAATTGTAATGACTGTAATGCATTGTAATAGACAAGTATTAGATAACAAGATAAATATATGTTTAATCTATATTATCCATACTCACAATACTTAACTGATACGAGAATTAAAGATGAAAAGTTGGGATTGCATGCAGTTTAACATTGCTTTTGTTAGATAACAATGAATAAATTTATCATTTTCATTAGTTCATTCTCTTCAATAACTTATAATAATATTCACGATGTAAATAGAAAGGATTTTTTTCAGAAAAAAAAATCATTAAGACCACATTCTTGAGTTAAACAACTTACTTTCTCATAGATAAAATGAAAATTTTATCGTATATGAAATAAATAGCTGGAAAAATGATGACTTAATACTAACGTACAAACCCGTTCACTTCTAAAACGAACATACAGAATGTGTCTTACTGCTATGTCAATATCTCAAATAGTATTTAGTTTGTATTTTTAATTTTATGGGTGAAAAGATTCATACTATGAACTAACAGAACAAGTAACTTTGGTTATTTTTATTATTTCAAATTACTGCGTGTAAAATCAATACAAATAGGTGAGTGATGAAGAAAATCAGCAATGTGTCATAAAGCCCTGACTGATTATTATTTCATATTTCCATATAGTCATTATCATAATATATCCGACACCCAAAGCTTATACTTTTTACTGCTACTGCACTAGACGGCTGTTTCATCCCGGTATGGGGTCTCTCAGTGATGCGGTCCATGACTTTATTAGAGATCGCACACAAGACCTTGAAGCCTCATGGTGACCTATTAACCTTCAGACCACTGATATGGCATGTGATGGTATTGCGTGATCATTTTCCATTACCTTCGGTGGATAGATGCCTTAGTACTGACATGGTCAAACTTGAATAATGCTTCTCCCCAAAATCAAAATTACGTTATTCATCACTAAAGTTACAGTAATTAATAACAAGGTGTCCGGTCAATGATTTTATTTGTATAGAATTGAATAGTTCAAGTATTCTTACCTTTTGTTAATTAGTATTGACTGACCAATCAATAATTCAATGAACTTTAATCGACACACTCAGAAACTTCAACAAGAGAAGCATTCACAATTCATTTCAATCATCTTCCACAACTAAAACATTAATAAAAAGTCTATCAACTATGTCAAAATGTATTGACATCTTAGTTTTACCTTCCACCAGTGTCTACTTTAAAGTGTCTCAAACTAAAGTAAAAACATATTTTCAGTGTTTCTAGATAACCAGTAGTTTTCTAGTTCCTGCTACATCATCTAACGAACACTAGCTTCAAAATAAAAATTTTTTACAAACCCTCTAATAAATTAAAAATATTATTAATTTGGATATAGAATTGTAGAGCCTGAAGATAATTTAATGAAAAGAATGTTCTTCGTTCATAAATCTGTGTTTAGTAAAAAATTATGGACAAAAGTAAAATAAAATAGCATGTTGATTGAAGCAGTATTGAAGTCAAATAAAGTGAGTCAAAACCTACCTTCATTCTCATTTTGAATCTGTACACCATTTAATTTTGGATTATTATTTTTATCCCAATGATTAGTTAGAATAAAATTATCTGTTCGTCTGAAAGGTGTAACATCTTCTCGATCACTTTCAGATGAACTTGACTGAGATTGATCTGTTAAACAATGAAGAACAATTATTCGATAATAATAAAATCAAACTATCTATTCTGAATTAAAGGTCAATTTTCAGATTGCAGTTAAGATATTCATTCTTCTGATGCTCTGGGTAAAAACAATAACTGTGTCACATTTATATTTTATAAAAATGACATATGATTATATGAGCATTATACATGCAGTAATTGGTATAAATATCATTTCAGTAACATGTATTTTAGCTATGAGACACGTTTTCTGTCTGAGAATTAATGGAATGTTAAATGAGAACTGAGTAGTGCATGATTTGAATCTAGCAACGCATTTGTTTTATCAGCTTCCTGTGGTGAAACAGTTTTGAAATAAACAACTACACATTTAGACTTAAGAAGAATGCTCAATACTCTTTTGTACAACTGAATAATACAAACTTGTCATTCTATTTATGTTAGCTTAAAGAAATCGTCAATCGATTTTTCCATCTTAATCTTTCACCTTGATTTGTTTCAGTAATTTAGATTACAGACCTATTAAAAAGGTTATTGTTAGTGAAAATGATTACTTCACATAAAGATTGATTAAAGAAACAATTAAGTGTTTGAAAAATTCTTTTACCACAGAATTTAACTGAAATAAATAAACAAAGTGTCTTTCTTTAATTTCAACTTCACTTAAACATGCTACGATTTTAAGATCAACTAGAATTCTTTTTACGAAGAAGCATATAACATTATAGAAAAGATAAATTGACGACTGATCCATCTTTCATTACAAAAGATCACTTTACTTTATTATAATACAGGATTATTTCGATTTTAATTTAACACCTAAATATGGTTGATAAAAAGACAATACTACAAAAGCATTAGGAAAAATATTTGCTTGTCGTTCTTGAGAATATTTTAACTAACAACAGTGAATCTGTTTATTCAGCATCCTTTCTTACAGTAAATCAACCTGCAGGCATAAAACTGATGATTAACGTCGAAAATTCCACCATTCTTCAATTTTGATCTGTCTAAAGATATTACCAATCATTTCAAAAGTTCATTTTTTGGGGGATTCGATGTTTCTTATCAAACAACTGATATATACCAGGTGATTAACAATTAAACAATAATCAGTATAGAGTTGCGGAGATTTTTGAGCTCTTTATTGAGATACTGAATCGATCAATATTAGATCACTAATGAAAACCTAGAAGCACTGAACTGCCGTTTCGTCCTAGTATGGGACTCAGCAGCGCACATCCACGATCTCGCACGCCAATGCTTAATCTCTAGACCACTGAGCTGGCATCCAACGGTGTTAATGTCTAACCTTAACCAATCCATGATATTGCTTGACCGCCGGGGAGTCCTATCCTATAACGAAACGGCAGTCTAGTGCTTCCAGATTTTCAATGGTGGTCTAACATTGATCCATTCATTATTTTAATCGGAACTAAACAATCGTATAATTTTCTTTTTTTATTAAAATAACACATAGAAAAATGTTTAACATGAAATTCGTGCACAGATACTGAATAGACGCAAGGATATTACTCACTGAAATCGTTGTTGTTTGTATTTTTTACAATATTTTTCGAATTATCGGTTTGTGATTGAGAGTTTGAGTGTGAATGATGGTTTTTGTATGGTTGTTTAAGTGTAAAAGCATTTGAGTTCCTAGGAGAGAAATGAGAAGAAGAGATAATAAGTAAACACGCTGAATTATTGTGACCATTATTCAAAGATACTATCATGTTTTGACCATTGTAGCAAAACTATAGCATGTAAATTACATATCGATTACTAAGAGAGTAAAGTAGGAAAAAGTATTTCGCGCATATTTTACAAACGTACTTCATTTATGTGATGCTGATACTTCGTAGTTACTTACTCTTGTTACTCCTGGTGTACTATAGGCTACCAACCAAGAAGAATTCCATGGAAGGCAAATATGAGTCTAAATTAGGTACTGTCTTTGGTAGAAATAAGTCTAAGAATTATAAATTTTATCGAATTTACAAAAGAAGGAGGAAAATAAGTAATTTTGAGTTTAATAATGACAACTAACTTCATAAGTCACCACTAAACAACCAGAAAAAAAAGCAAACCGGATTTTCATACTTAACTCTGTTTACCTTACCAACTGGATGGATGATAGATTTTTACAATTCGAGACATATTTATTTAAATAGCTTTAAAATAAGTGTATACAACTAAAATCATATTAAATTTTTATATTCAGCTACAATTTATTGATGTTTTGAGAGAAACTAAGGAGTTCTCACCGGTTTTAGCATTGATTTATTTAACTTGATTTAAACTGAAGAAAAAAAATTAACAAATCAAGTTGATTTTAACCTCAATTAATAAAATTAATCGATTATGTACGTGTAAGACATACCATAAAGAGAAAATTATTTTAGAATATAAGATTTCCTCTGTTACGTTTAAGAAGTCACTGTTATAATTTCTCATTTGTGCCAAAAATGATATCTGGTCAACCGGTGATAACATATAGATTATTTCATCACAAAGCCATGAAACAATTCAGTTCACCAAGATGGAGAACGGTATGATATGTTAATGTATCCTAAGATGACCTGATTCCAACTGATTAAGATTTGCTAATAACATACATTTATGTAATCATCACACTTCATTTACAGTTTCTTTCTATGACACATAAACTGAAAGTATAATAATAATAATAATCTTATTCTAAAATAGTGAATAAATGGGTCGTTTTCCATAGTCAGTAGAAATCTTATGTAAAATTAATACGTGGAACAACTAACGTTCCTGAATTTATTACTCTGTATTCTCTTAATCAAAGTGACAGACACATATGAATTCAATGGTAACATGATCTCAATGTATAAAGTTATTTTATAATTAGTTATAATTTTAACTCCATAGATAAATAATCGCTATGTGTGATTTTAGAAATTGTAGTTGCCTTATATGTATTGTGTTTTTTAAGATTTATAATTGGTAATTATAAAAAAAACGTAAATGTGATTCATTTTTTTTTAAATTAAAGAATTCACATACCAAGTTTCTTGATCAACAAAATCAGGATTAACATTGTGATTAGTGACATTTCCTGTAGATGATTTAATCCAGAAGAAAAAATCCAATCGCATTCAGTAAAAATAGCATAGTTGAAGTTAAAAACAAAAACAAACAAATAAACAAAATAATGTATTAGTTAAATCATTGGACGAAATAGGAAATAAATAGATTCCTATTCTATTTATAAGAGTAAGAAGAAAATTGGTTACAATATGAAAAATGAAAATCAGAGCAGTCAATAATTTTTAACTAATTGTTTAGATAAAAATAGAAGGGAATAAACAAAAACTGCCATAACAATCAAACAAGGAAGTGAATCGATTATAATCTTGAAAAAATTGTAACTAGAGCAAAATGTCATTCGAACAATTGTAAATTATGTTAAAGAAATCATAAAACAAGTATAATTACTTTGGAAGAATGTGAAATACATGATCCCATTCCTCGTTAATGGAAATTTACTTACTTACGTCTGTTACCACTCGTAAAAGAGCATAGGCCGCTCAACAGCATTTTCCATACAAATCTGTCCCGATAATCATCACCAGTTGTTTCCGGTGGTTGTTCATCTTCTCGATGTCCACATCCAATTCTCGACGTACTGTATTCTTTTGTCTTCCCCTTTTCCGTTTCCCTTCAGAATTCCAAGTTAAGGCTTGCCTCGTGACGCAGTTTCATGATTCTCGCAATGTATGTCTTATCCACTTCTAACGTTTTTTCCTAATTTCCTCTTCAGACAAATCTGGTTTGTTCTCTCCCACAGTAGGTTCTTGCTGATGGTATCCAGCCAACCGACATTCAGTACCTTGTGTGCACAATTGTTTAGAAATATTCCTACCTTCTTAATGGTAATCGTGGTAGTTCTCCAAGTTTCAGACCCATGCTGTAGAACTGTCTTGACGTTCGTAATGAAGATTCTGACTTTGTTGTGGGTTGGCAGTTGTTTCCAGTTCCATATGTTCATCAACTGTAGTAATGCTGTCCTTGCTTTGCCAATACTTGCCCCCACATCTGCACTATATTCTCCTTGTTCATCAATGATGCTGACCAGGTACGCAAACGTTTCCACATCTTCCAGAGTTTCTCCATCAACTGAGATTAGTCTGGTTGGTGTTCTCTGTGATGTATTTGAGACCCACCAATTCAAATTTTGCTGTTACACTGTTTGTCTTGACCTGCATTTGTTGGTGTGTGTGTGAGAGTGTGAGAGAGATAGAAGAGCCAGGTCATCTGCAAAGTTCAAACCATTTAGCTGCATTTAAACTGTTCATTGTATTCCGTGTTTCCGCTCAGTTGTGGAGGTCTTCATAATCCAGTCAACGACCAGAAGGAATAGAAAGAGTGCAAGTAGTCAGCCTTGTCTGACATCGATCTTTATTTAAAATAGGTATGTTAGCTGTCCTGCATGCACAACTTTGCAATCAAGTCCGTAGTATGGACTTCGGATGATGCTGATGATCTTCTCAGGTACGCCATAGTGTCGAAGATGTTTCCATAATGTTCTCCTATGCACACTGTCAAACAGTTTTTCACAATGAACAGTGAATAAAGTTTAATTATAAATACATCAGTTGTAAACAATTACATTTTTGCACACCGTACTACAAAAATGGATGCTTTTATCATGACAGATCAAATGACTAAATAACATGTAAATTGTAGATAAATCAATAGATGTGGAGTTCCATAGTCAGATTAAAAATTAAAATAATTCTGCCACTCTAAAGTACATTTTTTATGAACACCCAGATGAAAGATAAAACATAAATTATACCTCATCATAAATAAAATACTTTCGAAATATATTTAAGGACTCCAGAACAGAAAACCAAAAAAGATTGATTTATTTGCTGCGTAACAATATTAATATATGTTTATGTCTTCTGGTTGATTGGAGGTATGTTTATCAATAAAAATAACATTCATCAGAACAGAATTTATTTGAGATAGCTAAAATTGATCAGATAGTAGCCTTAGATCTACAATTCAGTCTAGCTGTTACTCATAAATAAAGTTTATCTCTAATGCATAGAAGGTAGCTGCTTGTATACAGATTTGAATTACTTTATATTTTGTGGAATATTTAAACTCACATAAATATAATGTTTGCTTGGGTGTTGTGATAAAAGATAACGTATTTGAAGCTTATTACCTAGGTTGAAATACATATAAAAATAATACAGAGGATGTTAAACTATCCAAGGAACTGGTCACTGATTACCTTGTTATTTTTATTTCTGAAATTTATATTTTTTTTCGCCCCAAAACATCTTATGAGAGCTATCTTTTCGTTTCACGACATTTAAAGACACTATTTTGTTTATTAATCCGTGACTTTCAGTATAATCGAATTCTCCTGTATTCAGGGCCACTATATTTGTATTTATATACTTATTACTCACCCAAATTATATTTTTTTCAGTCTCTCCTAATAAATCCTTCTTGTAAGATATGAACTTTTGGAGTAGCCTGAGCTGCAAGAAAAGAGGGAGGAGTAGTATCCAGTTATCAAGGCGAAATTAAGACTTATTCCAATTAATTTAAGATTCAGCATCTAATCACGTCTAAATTAGTCAGATAATGGTAAATTGTATTGATATTCATTTTTAGTGCACGAATATGATGGTGCCAATGGTATATTGAGCATAACAAGTAACTTGTTAAATAACATTCATTTACCACAGAAACTATATTCAAACAACAATCTATTTTCTTAATAGATGTATATTACATTTACTACAATTGAGCGATTGTATGTTTAACAGTTTACAATAAAAATTAAGGCTAGATAATTTCGTTACTTACCAAATTCATTGCGTGACACTCTAACTTTTAAAGCAGCCATTTCAAAACATGCTGGAATGGCTCGATTATCAGGTTCAACGAATTTTGATTGACGTGAAATATTACCGGAATTTCGTTGTGCTTCTCGTTGATTCATTGATTCTTCATGACTTTTATTTGTTTGTATTTTTGAATCTGAATCTATGTTGTCATGGTCTGAATCTATAGATAATAGATTTTTAAAAGGGAATATAAGTAAACATTTAAAAAAACGATATTTGCGAAGATTGAAATTCGCAAAACAGATAGTGAAATTTGTTACTTTCAAAAGTTATACATAATAAAGTCGATCTTATTTTAGCACGATATAAACGAGTTGTTTTTTGACTGAATAATCAAATCATCTATTATTTCATCTCCCGAGCACTATTTATTAAAGACTGAAGGTCGATTCAAGGTGGCTACCATTATTAATGTTTTACAGCACTTCCATTTTCTTTTTTGATTTAATTGCTTGTGTCAAGCGTAGTATATTCTGTAGATCAAACATGTTGATGCTCAGAAAACTACCATTGCACAAGTTATTTCTCGGCGTAAGCTTAGTTCATTCGTCACCTTGCAAATAGCATTTTACTGAAACATATAGAATTGGTATGAGCTCTGTAACCGATGGTTAGATTGGAGTGTGTGCTACTTATAATAACATAAGTAGTATATGATGTTAGTCGTGAACAGAAGGTCTGGCAGCAGAGAGACAAGAGGATCGAACAGTAAAGGATGGAAACAGGATGCAATGTGTATGAAAATGCAAGAACAATGACGTCTGAGTCATTTTGAGACAATCGATGGACATTTTGCAAATTAAGCCTTTACTTTATGATTGTTATATATATATATATATATATATATATATATATAAAAAGGTTGATGGACTTATGGATTATATTTCCTAAAGAAGTATAGAGAATAAAGAGGTCAACCTTTGGATAATTACTTACTATTACAACCTAATAAAAATTACAACGTATAGTTATGTTAAGAATTCTCTTCTAAAAAACAATTTAATATTATTGCCAGTTTCTTCAAACATTGATTCTCTGATGAATTTATTGTTTAATAAGATGTTACATCGAATGTTTTAATTTTCGAGTATATTTATTACTAACTCTTCATTCAATGCCAAATTTATTTGAAACTATCAAGTACAACCTTAAGATTGACAACTATATTATTTATATTACCATTATTAGTATAAATATTTTTTATTAAAAGTTAATACTTTTGATCGGTTAAAAAATAGTAGTATCAAATTTCGAAATCAGCTGAAGCGATTTTGAATGACATAGTGGTTGCACATAGTTATGTTATTTTATCAAGGAATAATGATGGACTCGACAGATTCATTGTTGTCAGTATGAATGTTACTCAACTAAACAGTTGTATAGATCAGTAAACTTGAGTTCTTTACAGCCAATTGTTTTTGGTGATTGCAAAAGTTATAGGACTGAAACAATAATAGCTTGTCAAAAAGTTCACTAAATCAGTAGAAGTCCCATCATTCAGTGAAATTATTAGTCAAAAATAAAGTTAATTTTCGATTATATTAAAGTTTCAACAGCCGACCCTCAGTTAAATGTCTAATTATTAAAATAAATTTGAACTAATGAAAATTTTTAACATGATACTAGGCTTTTACAATTTATAAAAAAAGTAGATCTATGTGCTATGTCAATTCTAACAAAGTGGTAGAAAAATTAACATCAAACTTGTAGTTACTTAAAGAATCCTTTTCTTATACACCTCAGTGATGCTTCATGATCCATGCTGCTTGTCCTTGATATAGCAAAAACACCAAAGTCCTGTATAAATTTAAAAGCTGTAATGTTTCATTACACTAGTTTAAGCCATGAACCATAAAATGTGTACATATGCAATCTTCCTAAGTTTAAGGATTATTAAACGATCAACTGTTCCTTTATTCCAGATTCTATTCAATGAATAGGACTTGATCATAAAATAATTCGGTATACTATTGTTCGTCGTACAGTAAGAACAGTGAAACAGTAATGACTGAAGTATATGATCTAGCTTTAATTAATTGATAATAAGAAGAGTTTAATCGTGAAATAAAAGCGAACAATGTTTTTTCATTAATGAAGTTTTATTACTCATTAGTAGCGTAAATGTAAACACAATAGTCTTCAAATCAATGTATGTTGACCGTTACGTGTATTCTATCCAAAAATTTGTTCATTTAGCGTGAAAAGAAAATGCTGCATATTAGAACTTTTTATATGAGATATCATCCAGTTTCCTTTTCTTTTCAACCTAATCTCTTACCTAAGACATACATATGTATTAATTTTCTTATTTCATCGATAGTTACAATGAGAAACTGCACTATATAAAATAATTTCAAGTATTTAAAAAAGAAAACCTTAAAAATCACTTAAATGAATTTTCATTTCGATTTATTACAAAATAAAACATAAATTTTGTAACAGAATGAAATTCAATTGATAAATTTCTGATAATAACTGCAGTTTTTCAGCTGAAAAAATGTTGTGATTATTATTAACTTGGAATCAAACGGTTGAATGTTTGTCTAACTTTCATACTATAATTTCTTGTTCTAACTAGTAATGAATATACACTCTTGGTATTTATTTTAGCCCTGTCGGAATGACAGTTTGGTTTAGTAACTAAAAAAGGTATATATATATATTTGAATTTCTAGTAAATACATAACAAAATGTAAATATGTCAAGTCAATTTATTGAATATTCGTAACATCAACGAGATGGTACAATTTATTTTGTAAAGTATATTTTTCAGTTAATACAATTAGTAAAGAAAACGTAATAAAATATTAGTGACATAACATAAATAACACAAGCAAATTATATTTGATAAGTAGTCATAGCATAATGTAAAAAATCATTTTCAGAAATAATATCAAAGTAAATAAAGAAATGAAAGTTAATTACCCATAATTGATTTTTCTTCAAATGCTCCAGGTAGTTGAAAAGTAACAGCTCTAGATTTAGTTGGTTTAAGAACTTCATTAAAAAATTTGGAACTTGAACCATCTTCTATAAAATTTCGTTTATCATGATTAATAATACTATTATCATTGTTTAAAAGAAGTTCACAACTTTCGGGATAATATTTTTTACTTTTTTGTTGAAGACAAAAAGAATCAGGATCTTGTTCCATATTATTGTTTGAGCTAAGAAGACAAGATTTTTGCTTGTTAGTTTCGTTAGTAACAAATGTTGTGCGTACCATATCAGAGAGACTTGGATGAGATAATGACCGGGTTAATTCTGACGCACAAACAATAACTTTATCTCCAGTAGAACAAGCAGCAATAGATTGAATAGATCTAGGTGAACTTGATTCAGATAAAGTAGGTGAAGCTGTTGATGAAGAAGTCATTGGTGAGAAAATAGTTTTTAAACATTCATTTTCTTGACTAAGATCATCATCTTCAAGTTCATCTAGAGATTTTCGAGGTGCACAGATAAGTCCCAAAGCAAATATTAATATTAAAGGGATTAAGCCTAATGCTGATAAAAACAAAATTTGAGAAAATTACTTACAAAATTATAAGTAGATTATTGTCTGGTTTAATAAGATAAATTGTTAATGATTGGAAATTATTTAGAAAAAAATAAAATATTATGATGAAATTGTCATCATTACTAAACTATGTATATTCATTTCAAGATAGTCTTTTTTCCAGATGTTTCACCGTATAAAGATGAAATAAAACTACTGATTGAAATTTATGCAAGAAATGCTAATTTCTTTTCTGATATACCATTTCATGATATATATACATAAATTACCATGATAGAATAAGTTAATACATAAGAAAGTAAATCAGTCTATAATCAACATAATCAGCATATATTTTCCTTATTTATTTTCATGATGAATATTCAAGCCTTTAACAATAAAACTATTATTAACTTCCCTGATAAAAAGATAATGTATTTTATGCCTTTGTTTGATCTACCTCACTATTATCATGTTTAATATAATCTTATTATCACTATTATTGTAATTATTAGCATCCTGAAAAATAAGTATATATATGTATGAGATTGTACAGCTTTGAAAATGAATTCGCGGAAAAGAGATCCCTTCGCTGAATCAATTTTCCTTATTTTATGTCTCAGTGGGTATATTCCGTTTACTTTTTACTAGCCATCAAACTTTATTTTAAATTTATTTAAATATTACAAAATCATTATCCGTCTCAACATGTTTCTAAGTGTAAACATTTTGGAATAATCCAAGACAGTAAAAATGATGATGAGTACACAAATTTATTTATTTCTAATTACAGGGAAAAGCAGCTAGTTTTAACTAAGAAAAAAAACTAGTTCGAAAATATAGTAAACCAGAGCAAACAACCAAGAACGAAGAGGGCAAACCAATCACTGAAAGTTGGTAATAGTGGAACAGAGGGGTACAGCACCTATAAATATCTGCATTAATGCTCCTCGTTCTCTAAAGAACGATTCAGGAGGAAGGACAAGTACCGAGAAATTGGAAAGAAGGACACTTCATCAAGTTACAAAAGTAAGGAGATCTCAGCAAGTAATAAATCTACAGATGCATCACACTACTGTCAATATAATAAAAAGTTTTCAACGGTATTGTTGGATTGAAATAAAAGTTCAGTATACTCTCAACTTCGACATCAACAAACCAGCTTTAGTAATGATAGATTATGTACCGAAAAAATGCCACACTACAGATACTTGTTGAACAATCAGTCGAAGAGAACTCATCACCGTATATCAGGTACCTTGAATATAAGAAAGCATTTGAAAGAGCGTTTAAGATATGGTGACCTTATGGTTCATTCCTTGACAATACACAGTACTTGGAAAGATAGCCACCAACATACGAAACTCGTACAACGGACTGAATTAAAAAGTCGCTAATGGAGGACAGCTAACATACCCATTTTAAATAAAGATCGATGTCAGACAAGGCTGATTACTTGCACTCTTTCTCTTCCTTCTGGTCGTTGACTGGATTATGAAGACCTCCACATCTGAGCGGAAACATGGAATACAATGGACAGTCTAAATCCGGCTAAATGATCCGAACTTTGCAGATGACCTGACTCTTCTATCTCTCTCACACACACACACCAACAAATGCAGGTCAAGACAAACAGTGTAACAGCAAACTTTGAGTTAGTGGGTCCCAACATACATAAGAGAAAAAAAGCATCCCCAAATACAACACAGAGAACACCAACCAGACCAATCACAGTTGATGGAGAAAGTTTGGAAGATGTGGAAACGTTTGCGTACCTGGTCAGCATCATTGATGAACAAGGAGAATATAGTGCAGATGTGGAGGCAAGTATTGGCAAAGCAAGGACAGCATTACTACAGTTGATGAACATATGGAACTGGAAACAACTGCCAACTCACAACATAGTCAGAATCTTCATTACGAACGTCAAGACGGTTCTACAGTATGGAGCTGAAACTTGGAGAACTACCACAATCACCATTAAGAAGGTAGGAGTATTTATAAACAATTGTGTACACAAGGTACTGAATGTCGGTTGGATGGATACTATCAGCAAGAACCTACTGTGGGAGAGAACAAACCAGCTTCGTCCGAAAAGCAAATCAGGAAAAATACACTGGAGGTCAATGGTACAGACATCGTGAACATCATCGAACTTCATCACTAATCCAGCCCTGATTCGGAATTCTGAAAGGAAAAGGAAAAAAGGAACACCCAACAACACGTTGCACCAGGAACTGGAAACAGGTAGGTGAAGAATTATTAGAAACTGGCAACAACTGGATAGAAGTGACCATGACAGAGTAGGTTGAATAATCCTGGTCGGCAGCCTGTGCTCCACGACGGGTAACAACCCTAGGTATGTGAAGAAATTCTTAAAATAGTCTTTGTCAAAATGGAAAGAAATTAGAATCAACATCATTTTAAATTCCATGGTTTTACTTTTGATTCCCCATCATTGTATTTATTATTAAATATAGTATTAAATGGATCGATTAACACGGAATAACATTAAGTACATTTGTTCAAAATGTTTCATCTTTCCAGATATTCTGGTCATCTGTATTTTTAAACTAAATACTGAGATGAGCTGGTAAGCTAATCATATCACAAATTTAATTTGAAATGAATTAGACTATCCAAATGTTATTTTTGACTGGAATTTAATCAATCTTGGTTGGCATTTGCGCAATATATGATAATTGCCTCAATATAGCCATTATGACACAAGTCGTTATAAAATAGAAGAAATGTGGTTAGCAGTGGATTCCAGGACGCTAGTCTTATCTCGCTTGGGACTTATCAGCTGGATGTCCCTACATCTCAGATAAAATGGAAATAGGACGAAACACATATCCTCGATTCTACTGTTAGTCATATCCCATCTATTCTAAAAATATTACAAACTGCTTTGTGAAATATATGCATCGTCGCAACTAGTAATATTAGGAAAAAAGAGAATTGAATTGTGTACTAAAGATAATATTGTTTTGCGTATAACAGGGTGCCCTTTCATGTTTAAGGGGATGCAAAAGATAATTAGGTGGTGTTCACTTTCACTAGATTTTGGTACATTGCATTTCAAGAATTTCCTTTATTTTTTTAAAAAAAAGTGGACCACACAAAAAGAACTCAATCTATACAATATATTAGTGAAACACAATCGTTTTAGTAATGAATAGAAATTATCGACAGAGAAAGTGTAAAACAGGTTAATTTCACTATTTTCTTGAGATCGCTAACAAATAAATACTTCAATAGTTGAAAGTACGAGTCAACTGAAGGAAGACAATCATGAAAAACCTGAAAGCACTGGACGGCCGTTTCGTCCTAATATGGGGTTCCTCAGCAGTGGAGTTCAACCAGGTCTGTTGTGAGATATTAACTCACTGAAGACAATGGTGTACGGTGGCGCAACTTCGTGGATTGGTTGAAGTTAGACATTAACACCGTTGGATGCCGGCCGGCTCAGTGGTCTAATGGTTAAGCGCTCGGTCGCGAGACTGATGGGCCCAGGGTTCGAATCTCGCAGGGAGCGGGATCGTGGAGGCGCACCGCTGAGGAGTCCCATACTAGAACAAAACGGCCGTCCAGTGCTTCCAGGTTTTCCATGGCGGTCTGGCTTCCATTGGCTCATGATTCTAACTATCGAAATTTCAAAAGAAAATTTACACAAAACCTTTTCTAAAAATAAATATTTTCTTATTTCTATAGTAATAGAAATACTTCATAATTGAATAATAAAAGAAACAAACAATAATAATAAAGAATTTTGGTATAGGTCTACGAGAAAAGGTCAAATGAATAGATGAAGGTTAATGTTATGCTGTTGTATTATGATAAAACTCAATATATTATATTTATATTATAAAAAAATAAAGCATTAAAAAGAGGAAACAATAGTATTTCCTTTGCATTGATTTTAGCATAAATTAAATGAAGAGAAATAAACGGACGTATATAAATGCCTTTAATAAAAAAAGTAACACTGCAAGCATCTTATTTATCTTAGACACATAAGAAAATTCAATAAAGTTACTAATTCACTGTTGTATGAGACCAAATAGATGGATTCGAATAGAATCTTCTTAAATATAGGAGACAAAATTTTAATTAAGTTTAAGTGAAGATAGTTTAGAAGTCTTCAATATTTTTAGGGATTAGTTCAGAATAAAGAAAAAGTTTGAATTTATTATTTACAAAGTAGGTTGATCTTAAGATAAATTTTAAGAAAAACTAACAAATTAGTGTAATAGTTAATAGCTGTTGGTTTCAATATAGAACTATTTATTTGTTTTTACCTAATAAGATAAAGTTGAGTGTCATGACTAGTATGATAATATATAACCACCCAAACGGTATCCAATTGTTACAGTTTCGATAGATGCAAAATACAAAATTAACATAGAAGTTCTTTTTCAGTGAAGTCAGACTCAGTTGGGAAAAAAAACGACATGAATGTGATAGTTCATCTTCGTTGGTATATTGGAGCACTATCTTTTAATAAAACTTCATAAAACAAATGCATTTTAAGCTTTTCCTCTCTACAATAGTCGAAAGATAATTAATTTTTGTCCTAACGTTATTACTTATCATTTGTCACAACAGTTATTTGTATATCAACAATTTTCTGATTTAAAACTAAATAACTACAGGTTGTCTTATATTTATAGATTGTGAAGTGAGTATATTAACTATGCTTAAAAACAACGAAGTATATATCACCAAGAATATTGATAAAATCTGAAAGAATTGCATATTTCTGTTATAATAAAAACATCATCACATCACCAAATTTGTTTTTTCAAGCAACCGCATCTTACTCTTCAGAAAATCATTTGTTTAGATTTAGTTAAAAATGGTCATTATGATACATAATTTATTGAAATTTCAAAAATATCTCTTTGTTAACTTTCTAGGTAAAAATAAGAAAATTACAGAGAAATGAACGTATTTTTCAAAAACTGTTACTTTAAAAAAGTCGTATAGACTATTAATATCAAACTAGTGAGTGAAGTAAAACAAATAATAATTAAATCCCTGTTAGTTTTCTTATTTTCTATTTCTCTTTATGATTATGTTTAAGTGTTTTGTTTCTCTAATTTTCATCATTTTACTTTCATTATTATAAGTTATGTTCTTTAAAGGGTTGTTCATTTACAACAGTATGCTCAGAATAAATCCTATTTATTATACACATTTGTTAATGGTCTTATTGTGTTCTACTTTTTTTTATTTAAATTTTATTGATTTTACACTTGTGAAAATGTTTCTCCTTTAATTACTCTTCATAATCCGCATGATTTTATTTATAGTTTCTTATATTAATCCCTCTAATGCCTCTGATTATTGTCACAAGAAAAATATTTTGCCTTACTCTCTTCACCCTGTTTTTTTTGTTATTTGTACACATTATATAACAGTTGCATGACCTTTTATTACTATTTATATTATATAACCTACTATAGAAATCTTTACACTGCATCGTCATATGTAATCATTTGTCCATATTTCTTTATTGAATTCATCCTTAAAATGATATATATTCGGCTGTACAGCGTGATCATGAATTAGTTGGAAAAAGATCGCTTCTCTGAATTTCGGTTTTTAATATTTAAAAGAAGAATTATAGATCGATAGGTTATTTTATAATAAGATTTTCGTATATTGTTCAATTGCCATTTTAAGTATTTAACAGATAATTTCTTCATTGTTATAACTTGTGGCCTTGTGATCCTATTATTATATAACGTGATGATACAGCCAATTAGAGAACAGTGATTATCGACCGGACCAATAACGTATAAAAACCCGTACGAGCAGTCTAGAGTCTTTATTGGTCCTGCTTCCTGCCTAGCGCTGCCTGTTAAGTCCAGAACACCAATCTCAGCCTTTGCGATATGAATAATTTATTTCAAACATACTGAGTATATTTACATACCAAACAGACCACATCACTCAATAAAGTAGAAAATAACATTTTTACAAGATCTAGCCAAAGGTGGCTGTGAATGTGGAAGACTGTAATTAATAGACTGAGCGTAACTCAAGAACGGTAAATCGTATAATAATAGTCTATGGTCCAAAATAAAGCTTCTAATAAGAGGAACATGAATATGCATAGTTTGGTTACATAACGATTATATAATAAAAATATATGTATCGTATCGGTCCAGAAATAGTTCTCAAGAGTTACTATTCATAATTCTCGTCGGATATAACAATCATACAACCTTGTTTCAATTATTAGAATTAAACTATTACATTTGTCATCTAAGGTACAAGTAGGGTTCACTTTAAGTGAAACTGTGGGTCATCTCGAATTCTTACGTATATCTTAATAATGAATACTCGTAAATATGAAATCAAGATCTGGGAATTTGTATGATGACTACTAAGAAGCACTTTACATGAATCTAATTATATTCCCATCTTGTTTTTACTTAATAACCAAACTATATCCTTAAAGTTAGATTATCGTTAATGTTTGTTTTTGTTAAATATAATTACCTATTTGTTTTAAGGACACTCAAAGAAGGGTAAATGTTGAAATTTCATTCCGCTTTTTTAAAACTACATTAAAGTATTCTCATTATCAAAAACATTTACTTACCCGTCCACGGTAAGTATACTGACCAACTGTTCAAAGGACGTCTCGGTTGAACTGAAAAATAAACAAATAAATTCTATTATAAATAGGATTTTAAAAACTTGAAATTAATTTGCGCAAATATTAAACATACGGATTAATTTAGGCAACATGATCAGTTACTTCTATTAACACGTTCCAATAGGTATTAGAATGCGATAGTAATAAGGTAAACTGATATTTTCGGTTTGTTTAATTTTATGAACCATGATTTATTCAAAGTTTTGAATAAAGTGAAAAGAACATGATTCGAACAATCACATGATTCATTATATTTTGAGGCTTCACACTAGCCCCCAACGGTCTAAATTTATGAATAGTTATACTGTTATGTATAAATTTTAAAGTACCCTATCAATGTAGATAAGCTTGAAATAATTTCACAGCTTGTTATAAATACAAGAAGGCTTGGTTTAGTAATAAGAGTATCTCAAATTATGGTCGACAGATGTTTTTTCATATATCAATTTATAATCTTTGCACTAAAACATTTGACTGGTTATGTATTAGAGTACAGAAACATGTGATTGACAGTCAAGAGGATTTATGCAAAATTCCATGTAGGTTTGATGATAGTTTTTCACAATGGAATATGATGAAAAACTCTTTGTCGGTACTAAAGTTAATAGTTATTATAACAAAAAGTACTATTTATTTTATGTCAAGAAGTTTATCTGCTACATTTCATAACTTAGAAGTCAAAAACTGTTCTAAGATTATCGTTAAGATTATTTAGAATAGATGAATTGTGGCTAGCAACAGTATTCAGGATCCGCGTTTCCTTCAATTTGGTGCATGTCAGTTGAATTTTTACACGTTTTTCAGTGTTGATGTTCAGCCTGGTACTTGGTTGGATTATTTTGATGCTTCGACAGGGGATATCATGAGTGGTTGGTTTTTAGTATTTATTTAAAGTATACAGGTTATAATGAATGCAGTAGGTAATCTTCAATTTCCCAAAGGATCCTACTAAAAGAAGTATCCCTCAAAGTTAATACTTCATGGGGAGTTAAAATTAGTTAATTATGTATCATTCTAAAAATATTATCTTACCTACTTCTGAGTCACTTTTATTGCATATCAAATAATTTATAGCGTGTTAAAGGTCACATAGTCAGACGCATTCTTCTACAGTTTACCACTTGGTCAAAAATAAAACATGAGTGGTTACATGGACTCTATTTCAATATACATGTGGATAATTATAATCACGCATCAAAAAAATATTTTTTACTCAGTTATTAAAATTAAAAACAAATCCACTTTAAATCTATATAGAAATTATATATTTATAATTTATATACAAGTAAACCTTGAACATTGTATAAAAAAAAGAAAAACCTCTGGGATTTATTCCTCTATAATAACAACTGCTATCTGCTTGTTTATACAAACTTTTAAGTTGTATAGCATATTATTCACTTTTTATTTTTTATTATCATATCTTAATGAATTAGTAGTCTCTGTAATCTTTAGTTACATACTTGATTTATTTCTACATTGAATGTTTAAAATTTCAGTGTTTTTGTACGATTGTCTATAGTCTTTTTTATCTCAGTGTTTACACTATATTCTGAATTGCATTCCATTTATAGAGACAACTCATTATTATTTCGTTGTTAATTTTCTTTACATTTTCATTTGTGCTTAAATAATTGTTCGTTGCGCAGTAATTAGTAAACTATTTAATCACTATACTCATTATTATGATTAAAAGATAAAGTCAAACAATAACCATGATTACGAGTAGTTTCTTTATTGAATAGCCTTTTGTTACAAATCGATGCTAATATTTCCAGTATATTTCTGACAAAAATTATGTTGTATTGAATTTGGCTTAAACCTTATCATTTTTTAGAATCAATCTTTAACAGAAATTATGAAAAAGGCTGTTTCAGTCAGAATACAGAATCGTTTCACATGCTGACCGATATATATATATAACTGCGCACGTTTATTGTTAAAAAAAACATTTTATTTGTTTTCCACGATAAATATGACGCGTCAAACTTCTTTACCAATCATTCTATATACAATTTGAATTTAGGAACCCTATATAACTATTAAAGACGTGATTCGCATTCATTAGTACTTGAGTTTTTTATGAAGATAGAATGACTGACATGAGACGCGATTTCAGTAAGCATAAACATTAGCAAGTACCATGTACACCGAATCACAATAAATTTAATAGGAATTAGATAACAGTTCCTTAAAGAAAAGAAATTACATCATCCATGCACGCTATATTAATTGAGGTTTCATAGTAAACAGATTTACAATAATATGTATTAAAATGACTGTTTAAACTGGTTTACGTATTGTCTAATATATTTAACCAAATTGAAACTTAGAAAACATTTATTTGGCGGTAAAAACCTAATTGTTTCTAATTTCAATAATCGTTCAATAGAAAAAGTAATATTGAATACAGCCATTAATAATAATAATAATAAAATAATAATAAAAATAATTGTTCTCCAGTTTACACTGATATACTAATATAAAAAAGAAATTTTCGTTAATTACAGAGACAAGAACGTACCATATGTATAATTACGAACAGGTGGACAACCAATTTCATCAGTTCCCCCATCAAAGCAATCATCTGCTTGATCACAGCGCATTTGACCGTAAACACAAACAGCAGTTTGATTTCCACACCAAAATCCAGAGCCTACTTCACATCGACGCATTTCTAAGAATATAATATTACGGAAGCGGGAAGTTAATTGTTCGGAAAAAAAACAAAACAAAGAATTTATTTCAATTACATCACTTCTTTCTTGCACATGTGTGCACAACGCTAATTAACTAGGTTCAAAAAATCAAAACTAATTTTTGAACAAAATGGAAGGAAGGAAATGATACTTCTCAGTTTTCTCTCGTAATTATCAAAAGCTTATTATTTAATTCAGTTAGTAGTTAACTATAATAAACGATGGTCAGTTAATTTAGAATTGAAATTGTATCCTTGCAGAAACGAAGGACATTTTTCACGTTTTCTATGCATTTAGAAAATTAGAAGTCTATCAGTTGGCAATTAAAACCACAAGGGATTTGAATAAGATGTGAAAATAAAACGATATGTGCATCATGAGTCATATCAGTACGTTCTAATAGTGTATCATGAGTACAGGAAGGCAAAAGACAAAGGAATTTGGTTTGCTGTGCTTGGGAGAAAGCCTGCCTTTCTAAGACTTAGCTTCAAGTGTGATGAAGTACCTGGAAAAATGAAATTCAGATTAGAAGCCATAATAAAAAGAACTTATCCAGCTACCTAGCTGATCCCCTGCATCAAATGAATTGCTCATTAAGACAGTCAGGTGCGGACAAACTTCCACCTTATGTTACCTCCAATCGTATCTACCATTTACTTGTACGTGCCAAAGCACGTACATCGGAAAAAGAGGAAGAAGGGTTGGTGTCCGAGTCACCGAGCACATTCCATAATAGCTTAGACTGAGAAGATAATATTTCTGCTTGATGGTCATGGTGTTGATGTTCCAAAGTAGTTGAAGACAATTAATAGACAATGAACATCGCATTTACCACAGTTTAACGAAGCGATTATCATCAAAAGACTTAAATCAAATTAATATATCCAGAAAGATACAGTTATCAACATTGTCATGCCGTAGTGAACTCATTTACAAATGTTTGTTACGCGATTCCTCTTTTCATGACATTATTGATTAATTCTCGCTCTTTATCTGGTTTGTACTTAGTTTTGTTTTGAGAGTTACATTAATAAATTATTTCTGAATAATTGTGTTTCCATGTTCTTAGTTGTTTATTCTATAATACTCTTATCTTCAACCCATAAATACTAACATTAATTAACGTATGAAAACTTCTTATCGTTCTTTCGTACTTGTTGCTCTTTTCATTAGACTTCATTGATGAGAATACTATCGATGTTATGATATAATGCATACTGACTTTTAAAGATTAATACTGTTACGTTTAGGTTGTAAGCAGATGATGGGAAACCGCCAAATATAGTGAATTCATAATATTCTGCTACATTAACTATTCTTCCTTTAATCAAATTGATAAATGGAAAAAATCATATGAAACTTTTAAATTACGATTAATGCTCAAACAACAGCAAACAGTTTTCATCTTCATCCCAAACTACAAATCATCATTACCACAATATTAGTACATATCATTTCATGACATAAAACGTTATGAAATATCAATTGTTGCTACTTAAAAAAGCACTTTCCAAAGCGTTAAATATAGCAGTACGTATACTGAACAAGTGTAGAAAAGAAAAGCATGTTTCAAAAAAACATTTCATAAGACTCAAACAATGCAGCTAAATTTCGGCCAAGATTTAGTGTTTAGTAATTCTAATTTAACTTGATAGTAATTAATGCAGTCCTGTAATCAGTTAAATATATTTATGAAGTGCAACTTATATGAGTAATATTTTTTCAGAATTTAAATGTAGTTGTCATGATTTTACGCAGTTGCAAATAGTAGGAAAGATACTGCGGATTCATATTTCATGCTTGTTGGCACTCGTCATCAAGACACCTAGAATCTTGAGGGAACCGATGCTCCTTGCGGGTTTTGAACCTAAATCACACAGATTCACAGTTCGAGACGTTACCAATGAACGATTCGGACTGCAAATTGTCTCCTTCAGGACTAATGTATTAAGAGTGATATATCACTGTATAGTGTCGATTCTCTCAAAATTGCATGTACGCCGTTCTGATGAGTTTTAATTAGCAGGAAACACAGGGCTAAGTTTTCCTGTCAACCACTTCACATCACCAGGTATCAAAACATAATGCGCGCGACCCCAATCTTACTCATTTGAATTTGACTAGTACCAAGAACTAAACAAACATAACATTGGTTACTACTCAGTTAATAATTAATGTATATAGTCGACATGTATAAGTGAAATCCTCAGTAATTTCCAACGAAATCAGAAAATTAGAGAAGACAATAAGAAACTTGCTTCTTTGTCTATTTTTGGAAAATCCTGAGATCTGACTACGATAGTGGACAAATAAAAACGAGGATTTTATAATACATTTGTTTCGAAATCAGCAAGCCAATTCATTTCATAAATTTTTCTTTTCTCCTACGTTTATACAGAGAACTTTGAAGAAGGCTTGATTCGGAAGTTTATATGTTTAGAACGTTAAATGTCTAAGACATTCATGTATTCATAAGTAATATGATTGTAGTTCTTTAAAAGTGTAAGTTGACAGGGCCACTAAATAATCATTTCAAAAATATGCTTCGTAAAAGAATGATTTTGATGCTTTGGAATTTTTCACATCAATTAACAGACAGTTGAGAAAAGCAAAAACTTTCTGTCCAGTCTACAAACCTTAAATTTCAAAGTATCAATAACAATCTATTTTTTCATAAATACTAATCCCGAATCATTAGAAATTTAGATATTTTACTATTTCACAAAATTTATTTTGCTGATAAGTTTAGCTTCCTTCCGCCATCATTCAAAAATTACCACACTTATTCAATCTAGCTAATTTGATAAATACTGTTATATTTCTTCAGAAGCATCAGGAGGGTACTGCAAGTATGAGTTCAGTTATTTTACAACGAAGCCACAAAAGAACACTTAGCTTCAACAGTTGTTTCCTGCAAGTAAATGTTCCTTGACACCACGTTCTATAAAAATACCAAGTTAACGTGTTAGGGTAGCAATATAAATAAGAAGGCAAAGACTTGAAGCTTTCTACTGTGAAATAATATGATTAAATTAAAGTACTGCGCCTAACAAAAACCGCCAAAGTATACAGTTTTTTATTCTATGATTTCAATCTTTAGTTACATTATGAAACATTTTTGATTTGTGCTTCTGAATCAATTCGTTATTATTAAGACCGGTTCGGAATTATGTTTAAGTAAATGGGAATGTATAATGACACTATAAAAACATTCTCATCAAGATAATCATCAGACAGTTCTGACCTTGGTCTCTCTCTTTTTTACAACGGTCATATTATTGACGGTTTAGATAGACTGAAATAAGTTTCATAAACATCTATACCACCACCTCTTGTCTATCTACCAGTGGGTTTTTACATGAATGACATCGTCATCACAAAAATTCAAGAAAATAAGTCAGGAGTAAAGGTAATAACCACCATCAGAAGTCTCATACAGATTAGATTTATTACTTACTATCAGTAAGACTGAAAGTTCCTTCGAATCGCATATATGCTGACATTTGAACTTCTAGTTTAGATTTTACATCCTCAATTGAACCGGACTCTGTATGCCAAACCAATGACACAATACGATGCTTTGAATCGATGATTTGCGGAAATGTAAATGTACAGGTTAAATTTAACTCCTTTAATAAAACAATGGTTGAAAAAAAAGAATGTGTCCATTTCATCAAGTCATTTGAAACTAAAGGTTTAATTTATGTAAGTGAATAAGTGCATAAAACAGTCCGTAAAACTAGTTAAAAAGAAAGAAAAGAACCACTTTAAATCTACTGATAATTAGTCAGTGTTTAATACTTTTGGGACGTCCGCGCATACCAAATTAAAATTGATCACTTTAACAAATTCGGTTATCTTGGAAAGATTATTAAGAACCTGCTACTTACTTTGTCCAACCTCAATCAAACCTACCAGTTAAATGTGAAAACTTCCTTAATGACTATGATCATAATTAACTGTTTCTAGGTTTTTCGTGACTAATTTTATATTTTTATTGCCCACTGTCAATGGATTTGAATTAGAGTTGGATTGTTTTTCGCGTGATCAGAAAAAAATATTAGATATCCACATTTTAGTTATAAATCTTCATTTGACCTAAATACTAAGACTATATAAATTCTATAAGCTACTGAAAACTACCTAATCCAAAATCTTAAAAGCCTTTGCGATTGAAACCATTTCAACAGCAACGATGGTGGCTAGTAGTGGAATCCAGGACGTGCATTTCGTTCTATTTGGGACTCGTCAGCTGGGCGTACCTGCGTCCCAGGGTTACTTTTCACTCCAGGACTTGAACTCAGTATTATCCTCTTTAAAGGCTATGCGTTATCCACTTAGCTACTGAATCCAGACGGCTAATAGCTTTTGGCCTATTGCACACATGGTTTCCACTGCTAGCCACCATCATTGCTGCTTATAATGCTAGACTTATGACTATAACGAAGCAATTGGTACAGGATGCACACATGCCAATAAGAGACTGATCAATTGAAGGATTCAAACAACACTATGATTAAAATGTTAACTTTTAAAACAAACATCTGCCTGAATTACAAATGTTTTCCGTCAATTTGTTAGTCATAATATCTTTCGATTCCACTACAAACAGGTTTATGGAATTATTTTATTATCCTTGTCGATTATCTCTGTTCAAAAGGTCAGTAAATTACAGTTTTATATTTTTGTGAGTACAAAATAAAAAACTAGTAATCCAGTCTGTTAAAAATACTATAAAAAGGCACATTTTTAATAGTTCACTGAATATTATATACTTATTTCCGTTTGGTCACTCATTATACTTTGATACAACAAAATGGAAAATCCAAAACGTAAATGTCAGGAAGTAATGAAATTGGAACAAATATTTCAACAGACATACGCTATTTATAGTAGGGACAAAAATCATTTTCTTCTTAAGAATTGAAATGTTGAACGTAATTGAATCACTAATTCGTTTGAAAAATGATGAAAACCTTGCAAAATGCTAAAATTTATAGAAATTAATTTGTGAGAAAAGTGTAAATTTCTTTAAAATTTACTGTATTTCGTCTAGTAATAATCATAAAAGTGAGTAATCCTATAACTCATTACTTTTCACCGTTTATTTACTAAGTATAGATATTCATATATTCCGGAGATTTGTTTCTAATGATCATATCATTGATAATAAGTCCATGATATATATCACTCGATAAGTTGTACACGGTTAGTTGACTGTAGTCAAAGAAAAAACATGATACCTTGTCAAATGAAGTACAATGTTTTTACGAAGATGAAAGTGGATAGAGATGAAATACTTTGGTTGGGTAGATGGAAACCTTGTATCAACAGCAGAATCCATACTTTAGTACAAGAAAAGTAAGCTAATAATTTAACATTTACTTTCAGTTAGTTTGGATTATCAGAAATAGTAAAGTTTAAACCAGGCACTGGATATCTACTGAAACAGTAATTTTGCATAACTCTTTATAGCTAAATATAAATACTTATCCCTGTTAGTCAGTTATCCATTTAAAACAATCTAAAACATGAAACTGTACTAGGCCATCGAATCACATTTTTGCAGCAAGATAAACTTAAAAAGATCGACATTAAACCGCTTCAGAAATTTTGTCGACTACTCAATGAAAATAAAGTAAAACTTAAAAATAATACATAAGCATTTTATAAAACGATCATCAAACAAACATTCAACAAAACATCCACTGAACAAATGTAAGTGGAAGTTCTTAATAGAAACAGAATCAAAGGCGTTCGTTGCTTGAAGCAAAATAAAACCAGTATTAAATAATTATTTTCATAAGTCTAAATAATTCATGAAAAGAATGCTTCGAAAATTGTCACTTGAATGAATATTTAGTTAGTTACACCCGAATAAAAGCGTCCATAGAAAACGACCAAGGAGTATATTTTAGAAATTACTGTTACTAAATATCACTAGTAATTTATATTATAGTTATTTTTTTGTACATTTCAGGGTACACTGCAGTAAATTATAAAGAAATTTACCCACAATAATGATTGTATGGAGATTTAAAAATGTACCGAGCATTTCCACTTAACATTGTTTTGTTTAGTTCGACAAAACTCTCTATAGATTGAATGTTCTTCGTTAAGTCTGAAACAATTTTCCCGTCTGTTTGCTGAATACGATCCACAAATTAGGCTCCATTTTTGTCAATACGACTTGAATTGCTTTTTAATCGATTTGTCTCCATTGGACAGCATTGCCGGATTTCATCAAGTTATCAATGGACATTTCATAAATGAAGATCTATAAATTTTAGTGTCGAATGTTTCTTCTGCGTTTTATTCTTTATGGTATATTAAAAATGATACTAGGTTAAAAATATCCGGTTGTATAGATTATACCCGCATTCAACCAGTCAAACCTTTTAAAGGTTGTTCATATACTGATCGTTTAAAGCTTATCCATTATTATCAGCTTCACTCTCACCTGTTATTTCATGTTTAAGCTTAGATATATAAAACGATTCATTATATGTCGTTGGAAGTTTCCTAAATGATGGTTAAAATAACAAACTCACTGTGGTCTATTATAAAACATTTCTTACTGTTATCAAGCCATGTCACACTAACCCTGGTATTTATTATCAGAGTGCAAACTATTGGACGTTTTATTCTCCGGTTATAGTTCATTATAACACAGAACTGGCCTAAGACATCAGCAGTAAAACTTTATTCTGAGTAAAAAGCAAATTAGTATAGAATTTTGTAGTTATAACTAACTCGTATTTCATTTTGATACACAAACACCTAGTATGGTTGTATTATATAGATGACGGTTTGCTCAATACTCTACACTACTTTCTTTAAACGTTTATTTGAAATTTAAATTGTTGAAATATAATTTCACCATTGACTTAATGCTTGTCTTTTCAGACAGTATTAAGATCACGGCAGCCGTAAAGTGAATTTTGTATGTATACCTAGTGAAGACAAAACTATTTCATTTAGATGAAATACTTTTAAGTTTTAAATTTTAAGTGCAGTAATAGAATTTGAGTAGTATTCAGCAAGTCGATAGACAAGTGTTTTATCTCTGTAAATTTCCGTTTGACTAACTTTAAAATATGGTTTAAAAATGTTTTGAAAACTCAATTGCTGGCATTTACATACATTTGCACCTTAAGGTTCGATGTTAAATTGGATTAATAAGATCCAGAAAAGTGTACTTTTTAATCTTCCAATAATTATTATCATCCAACGACGGAAGAAATCAGAATGGCCATCAGACAAATCAAGAGCGGGAAAGCAGCAGGACCCGACAATGTGTCAGCTGAAGTACTGAAGCTAGACATCGAAGTAACTACAAACATGCTTCACCTTCTATTCAAAAAGATTTGGGAGGAGGAACAAGTGTCGATGGACTGGAAAGAATGACACCTCATCAAGATTCTAAAGAAAGGAGACCTGAGCAAATGTGAAAACTACAGAGGAATCACACTACTGTCAATGCCAGGGAAAGTCCTTAACAGAGTGTTGCTGAACCGGATGAAAGACGCAGTAGACTTTCAACTCCGAGATCAACAAGCTGGATTCCGTAAGGATCGGTCGTGCACAGACCAAATTGCAACACTACGGATCATCGTCGAACAATCAGTTGAGTGGATCTCGTCACTGTACATCAACTTCATCGATTATGAAAAGGCATTTGACAATGTAGACAGGAGGACGTTATGGAAACTTCTTCGACACTATGGAGTTCCTGAGAAGATTGTCAATATTATCCGGAACTCATATGATGGACCACAGTGCAAGGTCGTGCATGGAGGACAGCTGATAGATGCATTCGAAATAAGGACCGGAGTCAGACAAGACTGTCTACTCTCTCCCTTCCTTTTTCTTCTGATGGTCGACTGGATTATGAAGACCGCGACATCTGAGGGAAAACACGAAATACAATGGACAGCTCAGAATCAATTAGACGATTCGGACTTCACAGATGACCTAGCCCTCCTATCGCATACACACGAACAAATGCAGATAAAGACAGCCAGTGTAGTAGCAGTCTCTGCATCAGTAGGCCTCAACATACACAAGGGGAAAACCGAGGTCCTCAAATTCTAAACGGAGAACAACAATCCAATCACTCTTGATGGCGAAACTCTGGAAGACGTAGAATCCTTCACACACCTGGCAAGCATCGTCGATGAACAAGGAGGTTCAGATGCAGACGTAAAGGCGAGGATTGGCAAAGTAAGGGCCACATTCCTACAATTGAAGAACATATGGAACTCAAAACAACTTTCAACCAATATCAAAGTGAGGATCTTCAATATCAACGTCAAAGCAATTCTACTGTACGGAGCTGAAACTTGGAGAACTACAACAACCACTATCAAGAAAGTACAAGTATTTATAAATAGCTGTCTACGCAAGATACTCAACATCCATTGGTCGGATACCATCAGCAACAGCCTTCTCTGGGAGAGAACAAACCAGCTTCCAGCTGAAGAAATTAGGAAAAGACGATGGAAATGGATAGGACATACATTACGCAAATCATCAAACTGCATCACGAGGCAAGCCCTGGCTTGGAATCCTGAAGGGAAGCGGAAAAGAGGAAGTCCAAAGAACACATTGCGTCGGGAAATAAAAGCAGATCTGGAAAGGATGAATAACAACTGGAAGGAGCTGGAGAGGATTGCCCAGGACAGGGTTGGATGGCGAATGCTGGTGAGTGGCCTATGCTCCTTCACGAGGAGTAACAGACGTAAGTAAGTAATTAAGTTCATTATTTCATACCTGTCGGTTTGTGATAATTTGAATCTTTAAATCAGATAGAAACGATATTTATGGCTGAATAATATGGGTTCATTTATTTTGAGGACTATCTTTAACTCCTTACGACTTATTGACAATATTAATAATTCATTGATAATATTAATAATTCATTGATAATGGTTTATATACTTTCTATTGTATCAATAAAGATTACTGAAAGCCTAAGGAATATTGACAAACTCTTGAAAATTTTCTAACGACCGGATGTTTATATGTTGAGTAATGTAAAGAATCTGGAGAAAAAAGATTTAAAACACGCAAAGACAAGTTTCTAAAAAATGAGATAGACTGTAATCATGGTATATTAACATTCTGAAAATTAAATTATATAAAAGAGGTAGAAATTATAAATATTATTGATAAAGCACAAGTACTTATGAGCTAATATAAGTTATGTGTATACATTATTCACCAAGGATATAGGAAACAAAGTCGAATATATGTTGAACATATAATATACCAGGTGAATTCCATACAATTTTCCACAACCAGCAGACAACCAAACGCACAAATAAAGCTTGGTCTGGGATCAATGTTAACGGAAGGTTTTTATCACATACGACCCAAGTCTGTGGACAAAAGTACTTTTCACAATTCACAACTCTTAATAAATTAATAAAAGTTGATCGATAACGTTTAGAAGTTATAACTACACCCTAAATTCTGACATTTCGTCTAAATCTTTTTCAAATATACGGATGTCTAATTCTGAGTAAACCTGGATAGTCATAAAACTAGAATGAAAGGTTAAAAAACTTAGACTAGTTTCTCAAGAAAAACTCATTACCCTAAAGATGAAAATCCTTTCTTAAAACAGTATATTATTCATTTTATTTGATCAATACCACATATCACTATTAGATGAATTTAAAGCGTACTCAGTCAATTGCATTCAGACCCAAAAACATGCTACAAGAAGAAATATAGGGAAAAATTCCATTCAAATACTTACATATGGAAGTAAAGTAGGTTGAGTGATTTCTTCGGGTATAAACCCAATAGTCAAAAAATCATTGCAAGAGGTAAAATTAATAGAAACCCGTAGTCTGTGGAACCAGTATGATGTATGTCCTTCAGGATAAGAATAATGTAGAAGTCTTCCATTTGGATACACTTTTATCTAGTTTTGTAAGTGAAAAATAAATTGCAAAGTAAACATAAAGGTAGCAAGCACAGTCTACATTATGAACAAAATGTGGTAGACAAAACATCCACAAATAAGATCTTAATGTTACTTGTATATGTAAGAAAAATGGTTTCTGACAAGCAATCATTACACCTTGACTACTAAATTTTCAAGGGTAAAAAACGAGGTCAAACCAAAAACTCTACCAAACCAACCTCAGCAAACCTAAGAACATAGATTTTGTAGTATGGTTCAATAGGGTAAGTTGTATCCAGTGTTGAAATAACCAAAACTTAGAAGGAAAAATTCGAGGTGATCATTCGTCTTGAGAAAGCTATCAAAGTATATCTAGCAAAGAGTGACTGAGATAGTAACAGTATTAGCAGTAAACATCAAATATATGATCCAAGAATATATCTAAAGAAGATTAAAATGAGGAGGACCAAAATAGCTAACAACGTATCATCAATAACTGCAAAGAACATTAACATAAAAGACAAACTTTGAAAATAAGGAGTAAAATAGTGAGATACAAAAGACGTAATGAATTTGAGATTTAGGATTTGAAGGAAATATAACGAATTCTACTGTTTTACTAATACCCAAATTTGGACCTTGAGATATCAGGCCTTTAAACACTAGATGCGGTCATTATGCTGATCCCAGGTACATGTTTACAATTGAGAACAGCTTTCAGGCCAACAGTTGATAACTGCAGTGGCTGATGAGATGTCCTACTTTGTCCAGCCTAGGACTTCTTACAACATGATTTCTGGTTAATCACCACTGCAAATATTGGAAGATTGTAGCTGAAAGTATATTTTGAATAGTTAAACAAATACTAGCCCTGAATTAAAATTATTTGGTCGCTTTCACTGTTATAAAAGCCCTATAAAATTTTATAAAATCCTGAGAAGTCTGAAATACCTTGAAGAGGGGTGCCATTCCCATTTGTACAAAGAGTATAAGAATATATTGTTAAACCTCTCCATCAATTGGCATGAATAGTGCATGTTTATCCATTTTAAAAGCAAAATTTTACTACTATCTTCATCTGCTCAACTGTTCAATCAGCTTATAAGCTGATTAATGAAAATATATTAATGGTCTCAATAGTGAGTTGCTCCTGTACATATAGAGAGAATTATTGTGTGAACAAGAAGCTCCTTTGATTTCATCTGTTTAAGGTGCTTAAATTCTCTAAAGTTCCTAATTTAGTAATACATTAACTCAGTATATACTTAATTTAACACTAGTCCGAATAGTCAATAATATATATAATTAAAACCGCCAGTCTAAAAAAATGAGTGTTGATATTGAGCGATTTTACATCTCACCCAATTCTTTACTGTTAGAAAGTTAATTGAAAAATATATAGTAGAGCTAAATAATAAAGTTATGCTCACCAACCTTACAAGCATATAACAGATTGTTCCATGACGAATTATATAATCCGGTGACAAAACTCATCTGCCTAGAAAGCGAAAATCTTCTAAAGCCAGAGTGACTCCGGCAGTAATCTGAATTGTCTGGCAATATTACATCTACAGTACCGTTTAAGTTAGTGAATGTACATACATTCCTCGTAGCTTCCGAATACCACAGAGTAAACCTGTAGACTTGTTAAAGCCAGTGGCAATAAACGCATGTCAGAAATCTCATGAAGGCCGACGATAACATAAAATGAACCAGTGTTTTCATGAGGCTTGAAATACCGCTGAAAGTAAATGTATGAACTTTATATGTGTTTGACCCGAAAAACAAACCCCAGACTATATCATTTCTTCAGTCCGTAACATGTAATTTACATAACTTTACGTCGGAAAACTTCTATGTTTCATGTCATTCGCTATTCACGGTATCGACAGAACGTTCATTTCAAACCATAATCAACAGTAACCAAGGAGGATGAACTGGCTCATGGTCACCTGATCACCACGATAGGAATAACCAAGTTAGGTACCAACCTCCAGTTGTGACAAGGATGTGGTCTGGGTAGATAATTCATTCCTGTCCAGTTTGGATAAATTTGACTATCCAAATAATTGATTTACAAGCCTAAATAAAATGAGGTGTTATGCATCTTTGGTTATCATGAACTGAAACGCTGGCCTGAGCCAGAATACGTGGTTACGTTATAAATTTGGAGCTGAAACGGAGAGAAACGCTTTTTTCTTGAGTCCTGGAAATGTTTGATCCTATAGGCGTACATCTTTCTATGTGATGACTTCAATGCTATATAATGGAATGCCATTTTCCTAGTTAAACTGAGTTTCAAAGATCAGATAAATAATCTGTTGACTGCGTCCGTGGGGGAATATTTTCTGACATGTAAATGTCAAGCAAATGTAAATTTAATGATGAATTATAATAGATCGTTTTCGAACACTGAGGAAGTTTTGTCTGAGGAATAACTGCTTGTCAATATTTCTTGTGCATCTAATACACAAAACTCTGTGTTATTAATTGATGAGGTTCGACTACACTACGTGATGCGACATTTCCAAAGTGAGCCAAACACATGAAGAAGGCTTCCAAAATACACGAGAGAGCTGTATGCTGTCAGAACACCAATAGATGGAGTATTTGGATGTTCAAGGCACAAACTCAACACAACGTCACTTGTTGCGATAATCCCTACCCAAACAGCGAAAAGTCTTACCGATAGCATTCATGCCAAAAGCCTAATTTGCCGATCAAGTATAGTTTTCACTTTTTTTTCGCTGATGATTTAGCAATTAAAGAGGTAGTGGAACCATAGGTAGAAGTGGCTATGAAATTATTTTCTTATATTTCCAAGATAACTGATAGGACTCAATTGATTAACTGTAAAAATTCAAGATATATTTGGTTAGCTTATTCACAGTGAAACAACGAACTTGAATTTAGTCTAACGAAACTACTTAAGGAAAGTCAAAGTTCATTCAAGTGTGTCTTCTGAAAGTCAATAATAATATTTTTGGAATTCTGTAATCCATCATCATTCGTTAACAAAACTACATCAGTGTTTTAGATCAAGTTAATTTCATCATCTTTTGAGGTGAAATTAAAATTATCCCGCAAATGTATTTTTCCCACTTAAGTCCCACAGAAGCTAACAGTTCGGCAAAATTCTTTGCACATGTTTTGAGGACCATATTTTGATTTTGTGGATATATCGGAACAGAGATTAACTTTCTTACAATATAAATATAACTTGAACGTCACTGGCGAGGTATCCCGGTCGTAAGAGCGGTCACCGAATTCATTAAGTGATTAAAACTTCAATTTATAAATGTTCCGGCATTTGAAGTCAGTGTGTCATGGACTTAATGAGTTAACAAACCATGAAAATCAGGCTGCTAAGACAGTACTTGTAGTACGTAAAGTAGATGAATTTTAAACCTATAGTAATAACATAGAGAAAGGCTATAGGTCTTTAAGATAGGCGGATTAATACTACATCCAAATCAGACTACTGGTTATTATAAGCACAACTTGGACGTTGAACGCTTGATGACAAATTATCCAGGAGATTTAAATAATTTAATCTACGGAGTTTACACTTTTGTTGGTCAGCCACCTTTTTTATTTACCTCAGTAATACTGATAATAAGTTATTCTCAAATAACAGTTTGTTACATGAGGCATGCCAGTTTACAGGCAAGACCAAATTGATACAAATGATACAATATCCACTGTAGTAAATTACACAGCTGGGTTGATAATTTATAAGATATGAATGTAGATGGTTTTAATCAGTATCACAGTTGGCGCGCTTCACGAAAGTTGCGTTGCGAATGTCTTCAGTCTTCAGTAATAAGGATAGGAGGTCTGTCGACCTATATTAATCCTTGCAGTTTGTAATACTGTGGAGGTCCAATCTCGTTTTGAATATATTAACAGACGGTGCTGATATTACGTGTTCCGGTAGGGAATTCCAGTAATTCACTACTCGATGCGAGAAACGGAACTCCAGACGTAAACGGCTTGATCTCGGTTTTTGAACTTTCTTCGAATGTCCTCTCAAATGATCGGTTCTAGACGGAAGCAAAAGATAAGACATGTTAAAACCAAGGTCATCGTTCAGTATACGATAAGCCAATATTAGATCACCCCGTACTCTACGGTAAGATAACGGAAATAAGTTAAGGTGTCTCAGTCTGTCTTCATAAGATAGGCCAGCTAGACCTTGTACCATCTTAGTAGCTCGTCGTTGGACTCTTTCTAGCATACCTGCTTCATATTTGAAACAAGGACTCGCTGCTTGAATCCCGTATTCTAAATGTGGTCGCACATAAATCGGGGATAGTAATTCAAACATTTCATCATCTAAATACTGGAAAGACCTACGAATTGACCATAATACCCTATAGCCTTTTGCAGCAGCAGCCCTACAGTGACTAGTCGTTTTGAGATCATTGCTTAATATAACTCCTAAGTCTTTATAGTTTCTTGCTTTGTGTAACACGAATCCACGTATTGTATAGTCATACGATTCATCAGAGTTATTTAACTGCATCACTACACTCTTATTAGAATTTACTTCTAGTGACCAACTGTCTAACCATACCACCAATGAGCTAAAATCGTCCTGTAATACTATTCTATCCGACATAATATGTATGGGTCTCCAAATCTTTATGTCATCAGCGAAGAGTAGAACGGATGATTTTGCTACAGTTGGCAATTCATTTACATAAAGTAAAAAGAGAAGAGGACCTAGGATTGTGCCTTGGGGAACCTCACTTTTTACAGGTACCCACGAGGAGAGAGCCTCATTAACTCTTACCCTTTGTCTCCTGTCATGGAGAAAGTTACTTATCCAATCTAAGACTGTGTTATGGATTCCAAAACGTTTCAGTTTGAATTTAAGACCAGAGTGTGAAACTTTATCAAAGGCTTTACTTAGATCTATGAAAATTACATCCACAGGAGCATTCCGATCCTTTGCCGCAGCCCACTCTTCTCGTGCAATGAGAAGATCTGTCAAGCAAGATAAGCCTTTCCGAAAACCATGTTGTGTCCTGGAGAAAAGATTTTGCCCTTCAACATAGTTTATAACAGCTATCCGAATGATTTTCTCCATCAGTTTCACAACTGCACTAGTTAAGCTAACGGGTCTATAGTTACCAACTAAATCCCTACTCCCGGCCTTATACACCGGACTTATTATGGCGTCTTTCCAGTCTCTAGGAAGTCTGGACTGTCTCAGAGACATGTCGAATAGTATCGCTAATGGTTTAGCGATTTCACCTGATATGGCCTTCATAATCCTAGGATGAATATCATCGGGACCACTGGACTTATCAAGTTTGAGATGCTGAAGTAGCCTTAAAACAGTATCTTTCTCAATGACTACAGGATCCATCAGCGAGCCGTCACGGTCACAATGAATCATTGGTCGTTCCTCATTACCGATAAAACTTTACTTAAAAAAAAAAACCGATAAAGCTTCAGATTTTTCGGCATCATTCTCTGCTAAGATTAACGGATTGTCTCGTGTCAAAAGTGATGGAATTCCATCGCTTCTCTTAGTTCGCCTTTTTATATACGGAAATAACCGTTTCGGACTATATCTAGAATCCCTAACCAATTGTTTTTCGTATGGATGTCTAGTCTTGCTTATTAACGCTTTACAGGCATTCCTAATCTTACAATAACTGGATCTGTATTGTTCTAAGCCAGTAGAGATGAACATATTCCAGTGATTCTTCCTTTTTCTAAGGAGTTTCCTGACCGTTTTAGTTATCCATGGTGGACTATTATTCGGTCTTCGCGGTACCAGGTATGGTATGAACGGGGACGTAACTAGTCTAAATTTACCTTTAAATACAGACCATGCTTCTTCAACTGATATGCTAGTATCTACTAACCAATCTGTCTTAGCAGCGCATTCCTGAATGGCTGATATGTTAGCTTTCCATACATTTGGGCGCGGTGTAACCTGATCGTATAACATGTCCCTAGTTCTAAACGCGAATGACAAAACAGCGTGATCGCTGTTTACTAACGGTGGAAGAATATTTAAGTCGACAATATCCTCAGTCTCATGAGTGATTACCAAATCCAGCAGAGAAGAACCCTGGTTAACACCAAAACGTGTGGGTTGGGATACATGCTGCACTAGTGCATGCTCCATTATTGTTATCAGTAACCTACTATCAAAGGAGTTTATAGATCCTTCTGTGGTCATATCAGTCCAACTAATATCAGGTGCGTTAAAGTCTCCTATTATCAAGCACCTGGTATTATCACACCAAAGAGGAATGTGCTCTAAAACAAAGTCATCAGCTAAGCAGATTGGGCTCCGATAGATGACACCTAGCATAAATGTACTACATCCTATTGCCAACTTACAGCTAATGACTTCACAAGTGCCGCTATCATGGGATTCGCTAGTAAAGGAGCGGATATTTATGCCATTGGCTATATATAACAGGACGCCGCCTCCTTTTCTACATCTATGTCTATCACTCCTGATGCAATGGTATCCGGATAATTCTGGAGTAATGTCTAAGTCATGGACTAACCAAGTTTCTGTCACTGCTACTATGAGTGGCTTTAACCTGTCTACTAGTGCTTCTAGTTCATAGAACTTATTTCGTAAACTACGAGCGTTGGCATATAAAACTCCTAAGTAGAACAGCCTATCCACACAGGCCTTGGTAGCATTCGCTTCCAAGACCTGACTATCCGAAAACCCACTAACCGGAGATTTTCCTCGCCGTTTTGCCAACGGGTTTCAAGTTCAG